GGAGGACGAGGAGAGGCGAAGCTGGGCGATAGAAAATGAATCCGTCGTCATGCTGGTGTACCCTACGAGTTTCAGCCTACGTCTTGGGCTGATCAATATGTGGGATTCTGAGAACACTGAGGTGCGCCTCTTGCTAACGCTCGCAGGCTGTCGCTGATCACGCAGCAGGCATACGCCGGTTTTCAGCGCCGTGCTGGATCCTCGTGCGCCTCGGACAAAGAGGGCGACTCCAGAGCCGGGCCCCATCTGGGATACGAGCGGGCGTGGTCAGAGGGAAATGGCACAGATGCTGGTGGGTCCCTGCGCGAGTGCATACAGGTCCTGCTCATTCAGCAAGTGCCGTCTCTCTAGCTCCACCTGAGGGATCTGTTTTGGCCTGGCTGCACGGCGAGACAGGGACCCGAGGCTGCTTACTCGAAGAGAGGATGGTCCGGCTCGAGCAGGGCGTCGCGAACCGGAAAAAAGAAAACGAGAAGCTGCGCCAAGAGATCATGGGGCTGCAGATGGCCGCACGTGGGCGAGGGGATCACCTGGCGATGCTGCGAGAGATGCTCAAAGCGGTGCAGTCCCCCTCCCCCGATGCCCATGCTCGAGCCACTGCTGCCGCCGCCCCCCTTGATCCCCTGTCGCCACTGCCAGGGCTTCCAACAGGGCTCTAGCACGCGGCTCTTCGGAATAGCATGGGGGAGGGACAGCCAAGGGGCACAGCGTCCCCATTGTAGACACCCTTTCGGTAGAGCACGTATTCCGTAGCATCCTGGCGCTCGGTGCCCGTCCTGTAATGCATTCTGCTCGCCCGGCGAGTCTGTCGCTCGCGCCAGCCGTAAGGTAGGCCGCGAAGGCTCCAAATCTGCTGCCCGATCGGCATTCTCCCGCGACCCGTCCACCTGGCGATGGCGCCGAGGAGGAGGAGGAGGAGGAGGAGGAGGAGGAGGGTTGAGCCTGGGCGTTTCCGCCAACAGAGTGGGCGGTAATCCAGCCCCAGAGTATGGCTGCGCTTATCGCCCCCGCGTCGCTGCTGATCGGCAACCGAATGCCGGCGGGGGACGGTCCCCGGAAGCCCAATTGATTAGCGCCTTTGGTAGCCGAGTGGAGCTGGCGCTTCACGGCGGGCACCCATTTGCCAGCCAGCAGGCCCTCCCTGCCACAACATGCTCCCTCCAGTCCACCGTATTGTCAAAACCGTGGTATCCTCCTTAGTATCCATGAGGATGCGCCATGCTTTAGGCGGGGCGCTGTCGCCTTTCCAAGCACCGCCAGCCCCTTCTGGGCTCGATGGGGCCATGTACGACGGCTGCGTCCGGGTCTCCCACTGCATAGTGGGTGCAATTGCCAACACAAGTACGTATTGAGTTTCTGCACATTAAAGCTCAAGTGCAAACCCAGGGCGCAGAAAAAGTGGATTGGGGGCTTGCAGAGTATTACCCTTACGTCCAGAAGACACGCGGCTGCCCCTCAGAGGCAGACCTGGAGCGGCGCATGCAAGCCTTCCCCATCAGCCCCGACCCGGGGTCAGGTATCTCGGAGCGCGTCGATGGCCCCGCTTGCGTTGTTGACCAAGAGAACCGGGTTCTGCCTGGGCCTTCCCGGAGATTTTCACCTCAGAGCTGCAGGTGGGCCCAGACTAACCGCGCGTAGGACCCCGCTGACACGCTAGCACAGGCAGAGTGGCTCGCCGCCATTGGGCCGATCCGCAAACATTTTGTTCCCCCAAAAGACAACACTCACTCCTGGCGGGCTCATGAAATGCACTTCTGCCCTAATGGGGGAGGTGAAGCGGGCATTTGCGACATTGGCCCGGCGAAAATATCTCGCGGTGCTGCTCATACGGTGCGGCTCTGCAAACTCGCTCGCTGCACATTTCTCATCCTCAGGGCAGCATGACGAAGTCCATGAAAGCCTCAACTGGGACGAGGCCGCAATACAGCAATGGCTGCTTGATATTGCCCGTCCGGCCGCTCTCTTGGACGCCGTTCTCGCCATATTAGCGCCTGAGCAATACACAGCCGTTCGGGCTTTGCTGGACGCAAATGTGCCCCCGGGACAAAGCTGGCCCGTCTCGGCCATCGCAGTACAACTCATCCATAACCGCATCACTCCCTTCCATTGCGACGTTAACAGCTTCCGGCCTTGGTATGACATACTTGTCACACTGGGGGCTACGGGGAAGACGGCTATATCGATTTGCGAACCCTGGGATATTCCGTGCCTTATAAACCAGGAACCATGGTTTTCATCCTCGCACGGGTGGTGGAGCACGGCGTTCCTGCGGTTGGTGGATGGGTACGGTTCTGTCATGGTATAATCGGGCAGAGATAGTTAAGGTTTGGTCTGGAGGGGCGGCGCCTGACGTTTTGCCGCCTGCAGTCTCGGACGTGGTGGATTCCATGGCTCGCTGGACGCTTCTATAGTCGCATGTGCGCCCGTCGTCATATTTTGCCGCGTCAGAATGGCCAGGAGTCATTACCCAGCTTTACCAATGAAAATCCGACCGGCGTGAGAATGGGACCACTGCCCCGCCGCCTGGCCCGCGACAACTCTGGGTCTGTACCAAAAAATCTGACCCCCTGCGTGCCCATCCGACTGTTTCATCGCCTATGAATGACTGCTGATGCCTTTCAAGCAAAGTCCTGGCCTCGCCTTGCGCTCCCGGGCATGAATTCGCTCGGCCTACGCCACCGCTGAAGTTATGGTCTGCTCCGCCTGTCTGGTTACGGGTTTCGGTGCGCGCCTATTGTACGGACGACCGCCCACCACCATTGCCTTTATATGCCGCTCCTGCACCTGCCGTCTCGCCACGCGATGGCCTCCTGGCTCCTCCCCGTCACCTCTCCTGCCCGCATCCCCCGCTGCCTGTGAAAACGCTCCAGTGCGATCGTGTGGCAGGCGGGTCAGCGTGAGGAACAGTGCGTGGGTACAGATGGTAGAAACAGTATAGAGGTCGGGAACGACGTGCGAGCTAACGAAAACGCTGATGTGATGCCAACTCCGGTAAGAGTCAACAAGGGGAGAGGTCTGAGGTCGAATCCGCGTAGGTGTGAAGCGCGGGAAGTCGGTAGAGGGGACGAGCGCCGTGGGACAGGACGTCTGAGGGTTTCGCGGAGGAGGAAGGGGACGGAGTGTGCGAACGCGGAGGAGAGGAGAAGAGGACAAGCGGAGAGATAGATGTGCACGGCGAACGGGCGCTACTATGATGGCGATGTACGTGGGGCGAGGGGCGATAGGCGACGAAGACGATACGAGAGAGGCGAGGTCGAATAGATGCGAAGGCAAAGAGTGAGAACACAGCACACGCACGTAGATGCGAGGGAAAATGAACTAGATAGCAACCAATGCGAGTCGAGTCTAAATACATGCAAATGCGGCCGGCGCGAGGGCGTGACTACGACCGAAACAAGCACCCGAAACATGTCTACAAGCATGGGTGTCATGGCGAGCGTCCGTAAGATAAGATCGGAAACAAGTGGCGGAGAGGGGCAACGAATGTGGCTGACCATGGAGGCCGTGGAATGGGGGATATGCGCAAGGGCGCGGAGCTCGCGCGGGCGTCTGACGGACGCGTGCACGTACCAGCGGTGGTGGATGCACATCAACGCGGTGCGAGGAAGAAGAGCGTGAATGTGGATGCAAGAACGGACAACGGGCATGCGGCGTGCGTGCATGGAGGGAGTCCTCGCGCGGGGATGAGACGTGCGCACGCTGCGAGGCGTCCGATGGACGACGGCGTAGGTTACATATGTACAAATTTTAATGCAAACAGATTGACATGAGCCCATGACGCGAGCAGAGGATGAATACGGCTGCACTCACTAGAGAAGCCGAGGAGTAGAAGCGCGTCTTCCAGCTTGACCCCGGTCCTGTAGTTGGCCCCAGCTCGGGTTTGGTGGCGCCGAGAACCTTCGCATGGTCGTGATGGCAGTAGTCGAGGATACCACAGCGATGAAACTTTTCTCTTACTGATGTGAGAATGAGGCAACGGAAGCACCAGCCTTGACGTGGAGGCGACAGTCGACGAGGAAGGTGGTGATGACGACGACGGCGACGAAGGTGTGGCAGCTTCAGGCATGTCCTTGTCGCTGGCAGGCTCGCCCTGTGAGAGTGTGCACGGTGTGCGCGTATGAGGTGGACAAGGTTTCAAGATCTGCCCCGGGTGGCCAAGAGGATGCGACGGTCGATGTGAGGATCGGTGCGGATGATGATTATGGTGGAGGTGGTGCCGAACTAGCGCGGGATGCTGACCTTCGTCCAGGTTCTGAGCTTTCCATCCGAGCCCTTCGCCCCGCGCCCACCTCCTCGTGCGCGCTCGTTTCGTCCTCATCCTCCGCGTCCTCGTGCTCCGCCTCGTCCACACTTGCTTGCGGTTGTCCTGGAGCAGGCTGCGGAGCCATTTCGTGGCCTTGCCCGCATCCATCCCGATCTCCGCCGCGAGTCTTTGCAGGCCTTCAATCGAAGGTGTCTTTGTCCGCTCGAAAAGCTTCTTCAGGGCCTCGAGCTGCCACGGCTCGGCGCGACGAACGCTTTGGGGTACACCTTCGGCCGTGGGAGCGCCGCGCTGTTGTGCTGCGCGTGGCGGTCGGGGGACGGGTCTTCGTGCGACGACGCGTGAAGGCTGTGCGTCGCGCTGTCGGGGATAGCCGCGCCCGGGGCGAGCTGGGTGTGGGTGCTGAGCGTGCCATCGCAGCTGAAGTGCTGACGACGATTGGATCGAGGGGAAAGCAGCCGTCGACATCGACGACTTTGGGATATTGGAGGTGCCGGGCGAGCCGCACAAGCTATGCGGAGAGCTCCCACTGTACGCAGGGTGCCAGTGCGGATGGCAACGGGAAGGAAGATGAGCCTTGGCGGCGAGGGGAGAGCGGTTGCTGCGCCTTGTTTGTGAGCGCAGGTGCTGGCGCAGACGCGACGGTGTAAGGAAGGCATTGGTGATGGCCGGGTGGTGGGAGAACGCACGAAGGATACGGTCCAGAGCCCTTGGAGTCGCGCCGGACCTTTTGGTCGAACTCCTTGAGGGCCGAGGGCTTTATTTTGAGCTGCCGCTGGAGGTAGGAGCACATTTACCGCTCCATCTGGTTGGTCTCGCGAAGCGCGAACATATCTTGGCCGACGATGGTCCACTGCTTATTGGAATAGGTGTCGTCGCAGACAGCCGATGGCCTGACGACCCTCGCGCGTGGGGAAACGGAATTTCGGTCGTCGAAGGAAGTAGAGAGGCCAAGGCGATGGAGGTAGGGAGTCAGGGACGAAGCTGGATGGTGGTTGTGGCAGTCGAAGGGCGCGGTCCGCGCGGAGGCTTGATGGAAAGGAATTCTGGGAACGAGGATAGGGGGATTGCAATTGGATGGAGTTCGGACAGCATCTCGATTCTCGATTCTCGACTCCCAGTGACCAGCAGGCCACACTAGCGCCCATTCCCAACGCGCGTCCCCGGCCGCGGGGCTCGGTGCCAGCCGTCTTCACCATCTCCGCCTCCGCCTCCGCTGCCTCCTCCATCCTCCGTCAAACTCGCCACCGTTGTTTTCTCGGTTGCCTAGTTCTCGGACCTCCACCTCGCCCACCTCACCAGCCATGCCCTGGGTCACACCCTCTTCTTTTTCCTCCACGGCCTTGAGGACGACAATGAGTGAGGCCAACGAGTCTTCGACCGCGGCGGACCTGTGAGTGCCCCTGTCGCAACCCCTCGCCTGTGCCCCTATTCACCGCGATGTGCCGCCGCTGCATTTGGAGAGCGCAGCCAGCGACGTGTGTCAGCTTTCGTCATTTCGTGCCCGGAAAATGCCCAGAAGGGCGGGGGCTCGTTCTGGATTTGAAGAGTGCGACGGATGGATCGAGGTGCAGCGGTTACGGTACGCCCTCGCTGGTTTCCGTCTTGAACGAGGCTGACGAAAAGCGCGACCCGGACGACGCACTCGGCGAGCCTGACGGACCTAGTCATGGTCATCGAGTGGATGTGGACCACAAACATCCTTGTCACCGGTGAGGCAGCGTACTTCCCTCCGTCCGCTCTGCTTTGCTGATCCGGTTTCTCCCCCATATATGCCCTCACGCACGCATGCAGAATCCCCCGTGATACGCGCTGGGCAGGTGCGCCGCGCTCCATGGACACGTCCACCCCCGGGACCTCATCGTCATCGTCGTCCATATCCACGTCCCGCCAGAGGGTGGCGTCGACAGCCGCACCAGCGTCCTCCTCACCGTCTTCTGCGGATACGCAGTCGGCGCCTTGTGGCATGCGACCATGAGCGCACACACGGTCCCGCTCGAGGGCACGTTCGTCGTCTCCAAGGTCGACGGCCCGCCCGCTGTAGCCTCTGGCGCGGGAGCAGGAGCAGGTCCAGACGCAAACGGGGGGAGGGCCGGTTCGTGCACCGTCGATTATGGCGCGCTTGATGCGGTTCCCCGAGGGGACCGGTGGATGGACGGTGCGCGAAAGGCCTGAGAGGGCCGCCCTTGCGCATACACGTTGGCTGCAGCAGGGGCGGGCGCGAGTGGCCGTCTCCGACCCGAGCGGCGTGCACACTGTATTCGCGCGTGCGCCCAACTGGCCGCCTCACGAAGGAGACCCATACGCTCGGCGAAAAGTATCTCCAACAAGACCGCGTGCGCCGGCACCTGCACAATCGGACTCTCTATCGTTCCACATGTGCTTCGGGATGCGGTGTCCGTGCTGTGCCGCTCGCGTGCACGCGCCGGGTTCAGCCCCACCCTCGTTAGTACACGGCTTTTTCGTCTTCGTATCCATTCTCCCCCTGCATGCATTCTCGGCCCCGCACTTCTCCGTCCCTACACGCGCACCCACAGCACCATTTATATCACATCATCATCGCTCGTTGATATGTACATCTATGTCGCTGTAGCTAGTCTGGATGTCAGATAACGTTCATCCATGATTGCGCTACATTATATGTGTGATGAGTGCTACTTCTCGACATCCTGTGCTTGAAGCAGTGATCTGCGAACATGAGTGAGACTAAATGCCCCTGGTGAGGGCCTGCTCTCGCGACTAATATTTCCTTCTCCATGTAACGGTCTCTCATTAGCAGATGGGCAAGCGAATAATAGCACTTCTGAACAACGCAATAATCCGGCTCATTAGCCCTCACAAACCTCAGTAACGTCTCGTTATGGATTTGGGTTTTTCCTCGGAGAGGCTCGCGGTGGCGGGGAGACGGGCAGATGAGGCGACGGGGAGGAGCCAGGAGGCAATCGCGTAGCGAAACAGTGAAGCAGGCGCGAGAATATAACGGTAAGGTGGCGGGTGATCGTATGCCAGGCGTCCGTTGCAGGCGCGCGCCGAAGCTCGTAACCAGACAGGCAGAGCAGGCCATGACAAGAGGTGCCGTTCTCCGTGTAGACGGGGCTTGAGGCGGACGGCATACTATGGCGGCGTAATCAAGTTTTGGCCCGCGCGCTCCGCTGACGGCGATCTGGCAATGTGGTCTTCACCTATGATTCCCAAATGATTCCGGGGGTGCACGGAGGCCGCAGCTCGGCAACAATGGGGCCCTCGAGGCGAGGCCTTTAAGGGGCGTAGCCATCGAAGCCTTTTCGACACGACCATCACCGTCCTGTTCGTTTTCTTGTGCTCGCCGGCGTTTGCCTGCGCCGCTCCCATGGCGCTTATACATAGCCACGCCACAAGCGCCACCCTGATGCACAGCCCCAGTGACGAGGCCTCTCTCTCTCGTCCGCATCTGTTTGGCGGCCCTACCCAAGTCACGGTGCCACACTTCAGCTATGCTGCCTGCTGTACAAAACGCTTCGTGCGTCGATTTGACGCAGAGCCGCCCGAATCTGTCATTGTGTCTTGACTGCCAGCGCACCTCCTCGAACAAGCGCAGCATCACGAAGAGGCTGCAGCGCGAATTAGAGGCCTCCTGCCGTTTCATCAGTGCGTGTTAAAGCTTTTGTTTTACCCCTGCCCGTTGACAGCGCCCCTGTTCTCAGACTTCCGTGTCATCTCTGATGATGATAGTGGCTCCTCTTCATTTCTTTGCCAACAAAACTCTCTCGAAAACCCTCCAGAATACCGTCAGGTTTTCAACAGAAAATATGACGCATGTACTTTCGCATGGGTGAAAGTGGGTTAACCGTTGCCTTCTGCTCTGCCATCATCAGCTCAATGCCTGCTATATACAGTGGGTCCTTGCTAATTACATGCGCCCGAAGCTGCAGACAGAGCGAGAGCACATCTCTGGAAAGGGCGCGGTGTATCGCCAGCCTGCTCTCCACGAAAGGACCACTTGCGGTGCGCGCATCAAACCCCTCTCCCCTCTTGACATTCGCTGAAGCAGCTGAAGATGGATGCTCTTCGGCGCTCTTCTCCCAGGCATGGCATTGCCGCATTTGCGCTGCCGAGCTTTGTGACGCCTGCTACAGGCTGTTGCCGAGGGCTCCCGAGCAGGTCCGTTCAGCGCCCGTCTTTGTGATCTATCCCTGACGCTCGTCGGTTCTTGAAGCTGTTGGAAGGAGCACTGTGCACATCTGAACCCGATGCAGCGCATGCACCGAACAGCTTCCAGCCTTTATCGCGGTTCACTATTTCTGCTTTAGACCATGCCCTCGCTGACATCGATGCCGTCATCGCGACTGGGTGAGCCTTGAAATTCATCACGGCGTGCCCTGATTAAATGTCGGTTTCACAGAAGGACCTCCTGTCGCGAAGAGCTAGGCCAAGAGAGGCCTCGCATGCCTCACGTGGCCCCAAATATTAGTGACAGCTCGCTGTCCTCAATGGCGTTCGACTCGATATGGGCTCGCAACGTGCCGTTGGTTGTGAATGGCATTCTTGACAAGCTGCAGGGCTCCTGGACCCCCGATTACTTCATTCGCCACTTCGGAAGGGAGGAGGTATATCCCATTGACTGCGCCACCGACTCACAGCTTTCCACCGCATGACCGTTGGTGAATACTTCGAGCTGTTCAACAACGCTCCAGCTACGCACTCCCTGAAGCTGAAGGTCCAGCACTTGCATTATCAAATCCAGTTTGCCAATTCTGACTGATTCTACAGGACTGGCCTGACGGCGAGCGTTTCCGGGACAAGTTCCCCGAGCTCTGCAACAGTTTTGCCCTTGGGATCCCAGATTCTGCTCAGGATGTCGCAGCACTGAACGGAGTTTTGAATTTAGCTTCTTTTTACCCCCTCAACAGCAACATCCCAGACCTTGGTCAGTCATCGATATCTCGTTGCCTTCCTGCATCTTGACGGGTTCGCGCAGGCCCCAAGATGTACATCGCGGCCGGGATCCCTATCGCTGTCCACGGGACGACGAAGCTTCACCTGGACGTTACGGACACGATCAACCTCATGGTGTGGTCATCAAACCTTTCCGAACGTGGCGCTATATGGCATCTTTTCCCCCCCGATACCCTCCCCTTGGTTAGAAGGTTTCTCAAAGAACAAGGCTGCACTGCAGAAGAATACGGAGATCCCATCCATTCCCACAGGGCCTATGTCACTGAAGAGATGCTGATCGCCCTTGAGAAGCAGCACGGTGTTTTCCCTGTCAGGATCGAGCAGCGCGCTGGAGATGCCGTGTTCATTCCAGCTGGGTGGGCTCACCAGGTCTGTTATTTCAGCTGTCTTTCGCAATTTGTTGGCTTAAGGGGATGTGCAGGTGCTGAATTTGCAGAATGCCATCAAGGTCGCGTGCGACTTCATCTCAGTGCATAACCTCACTTGGACCGCTGGCCTTGTCTCAGAACAGCGGGCGCATAGAATGATGAGCGGGGGCCACCGAGAAGACATCCTGTAGCTAGATTCCCTGGTGTGGGACGCCTGGAGCGCCCTGAGCGAACTCCCTGTGCCAGCTGTTCGTGGCCCGTGTCGAGGCAAGCATGGCGTTTTTTTGCGCATCCGCGACGCTAAATCAATCCATAGAGTGTTCCGTCAAATCCCCTCACACGGTTCGACGAAGCGAACTGCCCCGGCATTCTAGGCTCTCCGCGCTTTCCCCAGGGGCTCGTCCACCCTGTTTACAGCGGTGCCTCTGGACGGTCTTGCTCAAGTGCCGGCCCGGGTGCGCATGCAGCAACGCGTTCGAACCCTTTTAGCTACATAATGACTCGGAGGCCTTCGGTGACGGCCGCTTTGAGATCGCCCTGGAGCGATCCTCTCAGCACCGAGAACGGGCCTGCACCAGCTCCAATGGGACGGCATGCTGGGGCAGCGTGGACGGTGCGGGCCCCCCGCTCAGAATCCCCTGACAGCCCAGTTCGCGGCTGCATGCCACAACGGGACGGGCAGGGAGGGCTTTAAAGGCGCTCCCGCCAGGCAAAGCGCATCAGGGGACCCTCCGGCCGCCGAGCCTTGCAAAAAAGAAAGCCCTTGCTCGGGAGGCGGGGGTGGCCTGGTCTCCGGTCTACACCGCGCAGTTTCTGGCCAATCACCCCGCCACCAGTGCCCGGCGGACAGGTGGGCTGCTCGCTTTTCACCGCGCATTGGGCTCTAGCTTACCTCGCCTGCCAGGGGAGCTGGCGGAGCTTCTAAATGGCATTGCCGCGAAGATGAGGCTTGCTGAAGAGAAACTGCTTGCGAAGATGGCTCAGCACGGCGACGGTGGCGGCAATGTTTCTGATGCCTGCGTTCTCGTCCAGATGGCCCTGTGCGAGCTTGAGGTCGCCCAGCAGCTGGGCGAGGTGAGAAGGGCTCAGGAAGCCACGGCTGCAGCGGGGGCGGGTGGGCCTCCGATCCAGCAGCATAGTCCTGATGGCGGAAGGTTAGACTAATGGGTCGCTGGTAGACTAATTGGTCGGTGGCTTGGCTGTGTTTGATTGGCTCTTGAATGTATTCATACTCTGCCTTCCGGCTGCGCCAGCAGCAGTGAGGGGCGGGTGGTTGCATCGCTTTGCCGCCCCCCAGCTGGCATAGTTTCTATCTCATGCGGCAAGCGACCGCACTAGTGCGGGAGCAGGAGACTATCGCCGGGAGACGCATAGGAGGTAAATGCAGAGTAATCCAATAGACCCCGGCCACGGGACAGCGGGAGACGAGCTTCTGCGGCCGCGGGACACCTGGGTCCTGCGCCGGCATCTCCGGAGCCCACCAGCTTCGGGCTGGCCCATGGGCCTTGCATGAGGGGAGCGGGCCTGTGCCTCCAGGTGCCTCCGTCTTCCTCCGCCCTGCTTCTGCTCCGCGTACTTGGCTATGCTGGATCCTGACTAGGCTCAAAAGCTCCGTGATTCCCATTTATAGTCGTCAAAGCCACATTGTTTCATACCAGCAACTTGCAGCACGGCCCCTTTGCCCCTTGTCGCCCCTGGGCCACCCCGCATGCGCCCGTCACGCCCCATCATCGGCACCCTCGGCATATGGTCGTGCTCCTTACTCCTGGACGGGTGCGCTGGCCACCCTGCGCTCGGCGTTCAACTGATGCAAAGCGGCCCAGTATTCATTCAAGAGGCGCCCTGCGCAGTCGGTGGGCGACGGGCGTTGGGCAGCCGCGCATGCTCGCGGCAACGTGCGCACAAGCAACGCATCCGCGACTGTATCCTCGATGCTCGGGCTGCGAAGGCTAACAGAGCCCTCTGACACAATGCTGTGGAAAGAACTACGCAGATAAATGAAGCTCCGCCAGAGCGTTCTCTGTGGGGTGATGGGAAAGCCCTCTGGCTGGGCCGGATGGGAGAAACGGCAGCTTGAAGAGGTGGGGTGGTCCTTTGAGGGCTGGCGGCACGGGGCTGGTTGGCTGACGAAGAATGCCCCGAATGCCCGCGGGCCGCCGGAGTAAACTTCCCGACGGCCTGCCCATTCCCGTCGGCAGCTGATCCCCGCGGATCTTCAACCTCCGGCGCCGTGGTGATGGCTGCCTTTCTCCACACACCGGATGGGGCGCTTCACAAAGAGGAAAGAAAAGGCGTGCATTTGAAGCATCGCGCCCCTCTCAGCGCCCGTCGAATTGTGAGGGTCAACATGCTTGTGCTAGCTATATTCGCACCGTCGCAGCCCTATAGAAGGCGCCTCTCAGGCGGTCCCGTCTCCATCCCCCGTCTGCCCCGCCTCCGACCGGTCATCCGAATCCGTGCCCGCGGCGCCTGGCGCGTCGGCACCCACTCCGCTGGCTTTGAGGAGGTCTCTGTGCACGCTGGACACGAGCATCGCCCGACGGCGCTCGGAACGCGCTCCTGCGGCATCCGCGGTGTTCTGCGTGCCTAGGGTGAGGTCCCGTCCGAGTGGCGCCAAAGGGCGCCGGCTCTCTAGAAGCCGGGCCGGCATCGTAACCGCTTGCGCGGACCTTGCGGTGACAACAGTCTCCACCCTGAGCTGGGTGGATGCGTCGCTGTCGCTGTCAGAGGTTTGAGAGGCTGAATGGCAGACGTCAGGACTCAGGATGAGGGGGTTTTGAAGATATCAACCGCACCGTCTCTCTCCGCTGGTCGGTTCGCACGCCCGGGGCACGCGCTGAGTTCAGCTCGCAGAGACGCATTTTCTGCCCTGAGTTTCTCTAGCTCCATCGTCATCGTTTCCAGAGCAGTAGCCGTGGACTGGGGGGAAAGGGTCTCGACGTCTGTGTGTCGTTAATAAAATTCAAGCGTGAACAGAGGCCGCATTTACCAGGAGTGTCAGCCATGCTGCGCCCTTTGCCGGCCCAGGTAATATCGAGGGTGTACGGAGGAGCGCCTGAGTGCGATGAAAGGGCAAGCCCCAGGGAGTAGGCGGCGTCGATGGCGATCTGAAGGCACCGCAGGAATTTATACGCCTTGTTAGAGTCGAGGGCATCCAAGAAGCCCCGCATGCCGCCTGTGGGTCAAGGGGAAAGGTATGCGCCTGCCCTCAGCTGGGCCTCAAAGGCGACGTGGTGGAGGAGAGCGAGGCGGGTGTTCGGTGCTTCGCTGGCAGGGCTGTCCGAGGGTTCTATTCTGCCGAGCCAATCAGACGGCACGATTATCAGATGCCGTAAATAGCAACAGCGAGCCCATGTTCTGGCTATGTAATAGGCCTGGCCACATCCGCCCTTACTTGCTTCTGAGCGTGACCATCCGCCATGGCCTGCCCAAGGCTAGCTGATGATGAAGGCAGTGAGTTCAAGCCAGAGTCGAACCAAGTCTCTGCCAGACCCAAGAGCGCATAGAAAAAGCCCATCAGCTGAGTTCGCAGTCCATGCGCATCTTAAAGCCATCACAGCTTGCTTTTCAACCCAGCAGGGTGCCACACTTCTTGGCCTCCTATAAGGCATCATGGGCCAGTTTGATGTGGCGACGGGGCCCCAGTGGGCGCTTTTGAGGCACACGGGGCCCTAGCCTCCTGGGTGGAGGGCGCGCCCTTGCCGGCTTTCGGCAGGCGGGCACGGCGCATGCAGTCAAAGGCCGTGTGGCTGACAGAAAAGCTCACGTGCTTGACCGCATACTCGAAGGGCTCAAGGCTGGCTGCGTGAGTTTTGCATCGCTGTCTGCGTGGGACGCTTCATCATTGCCGGCGTGACATTTCGCGAAAATCACATTGGCACAACTGCGCCCCTCTCGCTCTCCTGTAAATCTCCTCTGATCGTTCTGAAAAAAAAATTAGGCAATGTGCTCTCAATGGTTTAAAAATATGCACCGAATCTGAGAGGGATGCAGAGCGGGACGAAAAAGATGCAGCTTCTGCCACATGGCTTCTGCGCATCCGGTAAAATGCTAGCATTGGGAGGCCCAACCGCCTGCAAACGAAATCGGCCCCAGGCGCTATGCAGACGGCAGAAAAAAAAGCCGCACGTAGCAAGAGAGGACCGTCGTTAAAACATTGATTGCAGGGAGGCGGTCCCTTTGCCTCGCCCCGGCGGTGCCTGCAAGCCCAGTCTCGACGGCATGCGGCATGCAACGAGGCAAGAGCGGGGCTCGAACTGACCAGGTTGGGTTAGGCACCGGCGCCGACGAAGCCGGCGGCGGACGCGGAGCTCGGCGAGCCCGGGTGGGCTCGTGCTCCGTGAATTTGATTGGCCACGCAGTCTCGAGCAGATTCGCACTTGTCCATTTAATAGCACTATGCTAATACAAGGGAGGGCGGGCGGGCAAAGAGAGTGTATTGTGCGTGGAGGCTGAACAGGAAGACGGTCTGCGAGCAGGGATCGCGAGCGGTACGTGGCGGGGAGAGAGGGAAGCGCTAGGCACGCGCTTCGCCGCTCGACTGAATGTTGGGTGCCCGCCTCGCAAGCTCGGCAAGCCCCGGCACTCACAGAGGAATGGCCCAAATGAGGCGATCGGCAGCAGGCCGGGCGGCGCAGCCTTCTGCGGACAACTCTGGCCACATGCGCCATCTGGCCCCCGGCATATGCGGGGACCGATTCCCGACATCCGTCAGGACATCGGCAGAAGCAGTTCCTTCGCTTGCTCGGGTGTGTTTGCTGACGCGATTCCCGTCACGCCGGGAGGCAGATCGCGTTACCCGTTCGGCTTGAGTCTCCGACGTGGATCGATTCCCGGCGGGGGGTGTAACCCTGTCGGTGATTGAGCCCCGCTGGGGGGTGCAATCTCGCCGGGGCTGCTGTTTACGCCGGCATTGGCGAACACACACTCGCGGCCAGAGTGAAGACTCATCGATCATCGCCCCTGTTATAGCCTGTGCATATCTTGCTGTAAAGACATGTGTTTGACCCATAGGCCCTTGGGCCGTCTATGTGGGGCGCGAAAAACACGTCGCCGTGCAGAAATGGTGCCCCCGTGCGCTTTCTAAACCCCGGCTGCCTCTTCAATCCCAACGGACAGGCCAGGTGAAGACGCCTTCGGCCTTTTTGCGCGCGGCTGGGGCGCGGCGGGTCCTCCCGCCCTTTTCTTCGGCGATGAAGCCATGGGCGGCCCAGTAGCATTTCCGGAGCTCACTGGTTTCTTGCCCTTCGACGGAGGCGGCCGCCGTGGCCTGTCGTTAGGGAGGTCTTTGAAACCATTCTCCCCACCTTGTGAGGGCGTGAGGGTTTTGGCTGCGGGGTGGGCCGTTCGCGTAGTTCGCCGCAGGGCGGGCGGTGGCAGCCCGGGCGGGGCTGTGAAAGAGGGGGCCTCAGCCCCGGCACAGGCAGGCCCTGGATCCACTGGCGCAGGCGGGTTTTGGGGGGTGCTCGGCGCCCCTCCTGTGCGAGGCATTATCCGGCGGGTTTGAAGAGGGGCATCTCTTGTAGATCGCTTCGGGGCGTAGCTCTTTGCGACCCCCTCCAGGAGGCTCAGCCGGTCTTCCAGAGAGCTGTCTTCAGGCAGGAGGATGGGCTGCCCCACGTTGACAAGCTGGTAGGCATCGTAAGCGAACGTGGGCTCCATGGGAGGGTTATCCAGCTCCTCAAACTCCGTGCATCGCCAGAGATCCCTCTTCAGCAGGCCGAGGGCGAGACAGAACCGCTGCATCTGGGCTCCGCTTCTGACGGCCTGCTTAGATTGGGCCGTCAGCCAGCTGAGGGCCTGGTCAAAACCAGTTGAGTCCCGGTACAGGGCGCCACCGACGAAGCCGTTGGAATTCTGCCAAATTGCCCAGGGGACAGCATCGTCGGGAGTGACTTCGACATCCTCGCACAGCTGTCATTTCGCATCAAGAAGGGCGACCTGGCGCCTATATCTGCGACACTCACCGCATCGCCGAGTCTCTTCAAGAGGTGTCTGTACTCCCTCCCACTGTCGAGAGCCTGCAAGAACTCTTTTCGCGTTTTTGTCGCCCCTGGCGCGAGCACGATTGAAGGCGGGGGTTTTTGAGGGTCGAGATCACAGAACTGGAGCGGCTTCGGGGATGGAGGCCAAGGAGCGGTCTTTGTATTGGGTGGCGCCGACTCCATTTCGGCCAGCAGCTCACTGAAAGAGATGCTTGTGACAGCAGCTTCCACGGCTGCCGCATCGAAGTCTAGAGAATGTTCGAGGCTCATCCCCACATCGGCGCTGGTGCTAGCCAATGGCGCATGCTGCAGGCCGGCGTGGTCGACGGAGCCGCCGTTGATGAAGCCACTGGGGCCCACGCTCCACGTCGCGGCGTCATAAGTCCAACCCGGGGCCAGTGTTTCCTCGGCCGACACCCCTCCTGAGTTTGCTCCTCCGCAATGGTCACCAGCATGGGGTGGGGAAAAGTGGGCGACAGGGTCGGCAGTCACCGCACCGAAAGCGCCAAGTGTCTCGCTCGGATCCAGTGGGGGACCCGCCGGTGAGGAAGACCCAGAAGCGACCACAAAAGGCGTGGTCTCCGGTGTTAGTTCGGTTGATGGATTTGCTGCCAGGGCGGGTGCTATGGTGTGTGGAGCATTGCTGTCTGCTGCCTGCTTGCGCTTGCCTTTGTCCCTCTGCTTGTTTCCCATAACCCCGCCGCCTGGAGCCTCCTGGGGCCTAGCGGCGGCATCGTTTGCAAAAGAGACATACTCGGTCACTGGCACCGGGACGACTGCAGTCCGGCTACCTGTCCAGAATGCCTTCACCGAAAACTGGCCAGGGGAGGGGATGAAGCGCGTGTTCGGACCAAGCTCCGCCCAATCGGGATCATCTGGCACATTTGCGAGCGCAGGGGCTTCCTTCAAGATGACAAGCTGAGCCCATTCCACCAGTGTGGCGACAGGCATTTGGTCAATTGTGGTCAGAGACTGGGCGAGCTCGGGCGTGTGCCACCCCGTGCCAAACACGAGATCCAAGTTCGCCTTGATCCAAGTCCACGGAATGGGTCCCAGCCACTTCTTCCCCGTCCCGCTTGCCAGACCTGCATGGCCGTATAAGGTCTGAAAAATGGGCAATAAAGCCGAGAAGCTCACCGAAATGAATTCTTAACCATTCATTGACGATCTTCTTGATGGCTCCCTCAGCGCCAGGTAAGAATAGCGCCGGCATGCTGGCCTTGAAAGAAAGCCTTACGGATTCCAACCGCCGGCCGGGTGGGGGAACGGAATTCTATTGTTAATTAGGTTAATTATTTGGTATGTGCCGGGGGTGGCCTGAAAATACCTTCGCGGTCTTAGGGGCGGGGGCGCCCAGGGCGCCCAGGACCTCGTCTGGGCTGCCCCATTCAGGATGAGCTCGTAGAGCTTGAACAGCGTCTTCAGAGTGTTTTCTTTAAACCCAGGCAGAGATTCAAGGTCAGGCCACTTCGCCTGAGAAAGCACGGAGTGATTGGAGCGGTTCAAGTGCTGGGTTGTGTCGGAGCTGCCAGTGGCATTAGCATGCAGCAGCAGGGGAAGCGGCTAAGGCTGGAAGCGGCTTACTAGAAGACGTCTATTTTGCCGTTTTCATCCTTCCACATGCCGAGCATGAAGGAGCAGATGCTGCCGTTCTTGTGGAGATACGAGGTTGCATTGTCCATCACCTTCAGCCCATTGTCTTTGGAAAAACTGGGCCACACATTGTGTTCAGGGATCGCCATCATGAGGAGGAAACGCGCTACTCACCTGCGCTTGTCCTCATCCGTCCCACCATCCTCCCGTATCCCCAGCGCCTTCGCCTCCCATTCACTCTTGATCTCATCAGGAGTCTCCGCCCAGAGTTGTGAGAGAGCCTTCGACTGCCCACCGACACCCGAGAGGGTCAATGCAGTCATGAGTTGCTTGGCCTCCTCCAAAACCTCCGGCTCTTTTTGCCATAGCGCATATGCCCCGGGAAGCCGGACGCCGGACCACGGCTCCGATTGCGGCTGTTTCCGAGTGGAGGCTTTGTTCGTGAACCAAACTTGGAGCTTCTGAAGTCAAGTTAGCCTCCTGGAAACGACCCAAAACTGGCGAAAGTGGGGCGCGTTACCTGAACCACAATGCCCCCAATCAGCTCCATGCTGGCATTCCCCACCCCTCTGTCTTGGAGAAACTGCACCGCGAGTTCTCTGAGAAGCTTTGCACGCCCGTCAGCATCACGCACTCTCCAGGAAGCAATGTGGGTTTGCAGCAGCGATTCTTCAGTGGATGTCCACTTCCACGTCTTGAACTCGACCGTGGGGGGGTCCGTAGCGGGGTGGAGGAGTGGAGGCATTTCGAAAGCCGGAGGTGATGTGAAGAAGTGGGGCCTAGGGGACATACGGAAGATGGGCCCATAAGGGTGGCTCTCGACGGCGCCCTGGAGCGCTATTGTGTGTTGTTTGCGATTTACGGGACGCTGGGATTGCTGACGGGCAGGCTCAATTCCGTTGGCGGGCGCTGCTCCTAAACCCGCACTGCTTGGACCCCTCCCCCGCCCTTCAACGCCCTCCGAAAAACCATGAAAAAACGTCCCAGAAATGGCCGCCTTGTTGTTGGTGACGACGGTCCACTGCCGCAAACCATGCGATCCACCCATTACATCGGAGACCGCCAGTCAGGAAGAAGCCGTCGATTGAATCGCGTCGTGACGATGCCGCTGGGAGGGGCGTCCAAGGAGAGTGCAGAGAAGGCTAAGCCATCCTGTGGTGTCACCTCTCCGAATATTTTGGGGACTCCTGGTGGGTCTGGAGAGCGTGCCGGGACGCAACCCGAGATGCGAACGGAATTTGCCTTCCAGTTCACCATGCGCGTCGACTTTGGAAAACGGCGTTCAAAAGTGAGTGCCACTGTGACTATGGAGAGATATACTGACTCCAAGGAAAAGTCTCAAGGCCAATACCTTAGAGAGTGGGTCCCGAAGCGGCCGCTGTTCATTGAAGCGTATATGGAGTCGTTCGGGCCTCCGGGGGACTGCAACTGTGGAAAACCCGCGGATTGGAGATGCACAGAGTGTTTGGGAAGGCCGTCTGTGTGCTCGAAGTGCTGTCGTGATGGGCATGCTTTAAACCCCACGCACAGGGTGGAGCGATGGCGGGGCCGTGTTATGGACACCACGCGTACGCCTACCCTTTTCCTTTCCCCTCGTCATCTCCGTCACGGACTATGCCTCGTGCCCTCAGGGGCTACTGTAACACTACCCCTATTCCCCGCCTCATGCTGCTGCGCAGCCTTGCCTCGGACATGCACACGCCTCATGGTAACCGCACAGTACCACACCCCCTTACATGCCGACACCATGACTCGTGCTGACTCGTACGGACTCGTTGTACATGCACCGCTACCTCACCCCTCGCGCACTGTGGCCTCAAGGCCTTTGTACTTATAAGAGGGACGACGCAGCATAGCGCTCCCCATCTTTCGACCTCCTGTATAGCTACGTCCCCTCAGGCCTAGTGCCAATTGACTCTCTTGCTTGCCTTCTACCTCGCTCGCTCGCCGGTCCACTCGATAGTGCACCGTGCTCACTCGCGTTGGCATCAGAAGACTTCCCATGGACATAACCACTCGGCGTCTAGGCCTCGTTCCAAGCGGAACTCGGGCTTCGACATAACAGGCCGCTGCTGGGACAAAGCGGCGCTTTACGACCTCCGGATGCAGGTGCACTGTGGCCACAGAGGGCGGCCCTGTCCTGGGCTGAAGCCCATGCCCGGCATGACCTCCATTCATGACGGGTCTCAACTTCATCTCCAAGAAGGCTTCAGTACACAGGTGGGGCCGCAGGTTCCATACTACGGCGACGAAGATGCTGATGGCGATGTCCCCGATGACCAGCCATCGCCGGCCCACCCGCACCCCGAAGTTCCATCTGGCTTCGGAATCCCGACATACTACGGCGAACGGACGCTGTCTGTCCTACACACAAACGGCCAACACCGGCTCTCGTTCACCTTTTGCCAATGCGAGGGAGCGGAGGAGGAGGCGTTGCAGCTTTGGCGTCTGGGGTTCTATCCAGGTTCGGTGAAGAGGGTGCACACCGTCTACACAGAAGCTTGCCTAAAGGACTTCGCCCTTTCCAACCTCCAATGCAAGACGTCTGCGTTCGCATACCACACGTATCTCTGCAGGAAAACCGACGGCGCATTCTACCGTGACCTCCCAGTACGTCGCTCACTCCACGCTTGCCAGCTGCCAGGCTGAGGTTGATATTTGATAGAACGGATACAAAGGACTTCTGCGCGCTTCGCGGCAATGGCAGGATATGGCGAGGCGCATACACGCCGGGTATGCGCATAGCAGCGACGAGCCGGGGCTGGGCGAGCTCGCGCTGAGATGCCCGACGTGTCCACGAACCGGAGAAAACACCCCAGACGGCTGGGAGCGCGACCCGAAGCGGTGCGTGTCTGTTGCGTGCACACAGAGTCGTGCTGCTAATGCGGAGCACAGACACAAGTACCCGCAAGGAATAGCTATGGATGGAACATATGCCGCTCCTCACCTCCGGATGAAGAACGAGGAGGATGATGTGAATTTATCAGAAGGCTTGGCATACACAGTTGCAGACGAGCCTTATAAAATGCATTTGGAGCGGTCGATGTCCGCAGGGGAAGAGGTTCGTGTCAGCAGTGCATACTGGGCGGAGAGGCGCCGGCTGAACACCGCCCGCAGCGTCTTCGCTCGACCTGCCATGAGCACAGAGCCGCGCTAGAGGCCCACAACACCAAAGCCCACCTCGATGCAACGGGCGTGGGCGCGTCAGTATGCTCGCGCCATGGCTTTTTTCTGCCCCACTCAGTCGTTGATTTCCAAAGGGGCGAAGCGTAGGGTTTCCGTCATCTATATTTTGTCTCTTCTAACCAATGAGTTATAGACAACGAAACATGGACTACAGCCTAAGCTGGGCCATGAGGGCTTTTGGCCAGTGCGCAGCTTTTCTCATCATCTACGATATTGTATGCCAGTATCACGTGCACATGTTCTCGCGGTTCTCAAAGTCGCCCGACCTCCAGCTCCCGGCGGGGTCGACATTTCAATGGGCAATCGGGCAATTCCATGTCCATGGGCACAAATCAGAATGCTTTGCCAGGTATTCGTTGAACCACGTTCCCAACGCAGGCAACCAGGCTGGGGAGATACTCGAAACCCTTTGGGCTCCCTGGGGAAGAATCAGCGACAGCACCCGGGGCATGGGTTCGAAGCACCGCCACGAAACACAGGACACCCATATGGGGGACTCTAATTGGATGAAGATCACACGCACCAGTAAGCCGTGTGCCGCAAATTAGTGTGGCAGCTGCCTCTGACATCACTGGCAGAAGACAGGATTTGCGGTGCATGGGAAAACGCAACCACTGAAGAGGCTGCGGCGAGAGCCACCTTCGCCCGCATCAACGGCAATACGAAATCGGAGGAGCGTGAGGCCTGGGCGGAAAGCCTCAGACAGGCGCACGCTGCGAGCTCGAGTAAAATAAGCGCAATGGACATTCTGAGCCCAGTTCGAAACACCCGTATGCCAGCCCCACCGCTCTCCGCACGGGTGCGCTGCTGACCCATTGGCTCATTACAGTGCCGTCCCTGAATGGAACTCTGAGGGCCCTGGTTGAACGAGAGAACTCAACACGTCTCACCCCCGTTGCTGCCTGGATGGCTGACGGAATCAGCATTGATCGCCGCAGGTGGGTTTTTCCCACCAGGCTGGGAGCCACTCGATCCGCAGCGCCCACTGCTCCCCGGCGTCGCCGCATTGCCCTGGGCCCCCGCTGGCCTTTGTCGGGCATCTGGTCCCGGTGGGAATCGACTGCCCGCAGGGATTGGTCGCCGCTCGCCGCTCTTCGCCGCCCGTGCGCCAGTGCTGACAAAAAGCCTCCATCCCAGGATAGCGGTAGCACGAATGGCGAGGCAGCTGAAAGATCGTGGCACGGAGAAGGAGAAGAAGGACCTTGCCCTCGACCGACAGCAGCTTCTGGCGGACATTCGTAAATTTAACCAGGCCGGAGTGAAGCATCTTCCCAAAGAGGCGTACCCCGTGCTTGATGGGCTGGATGGCGCAGACTCTTTGGGAGAGGAGTGGGACGAACTCGACGCCACTGGCCTGGTTGACGGTGTTCCTCTCCTGCCATCCCTCAGCGTTGAGTTCGCAGGGGCTCCTGAAACGCGGCCCATCATACTGCCCTCCACGTTAGGCCCGGGCTACCTATCTCGGCACAAATTATGGCATCTCGCAAAGATGGAAAGGGAGCTCCGCATGGCTGACATGAACGACTGCCTGAATGGAATCCGGGACGGCATCTCGGCCAAGTCCTACCTCTTTCATACCGGGGTGAGGCACGTGTCATCCACTCGAACCTCCCTTCGGTCTTTCGACGAGATCCGCCTGGTTGATCACACGGTAACCCGGCATGTGCGGGTCTACATGCAGTCCTGGAACGCACTGCCCAGTCTCTATGACATCCGGAACGGAGAGGAGCTCAGCCTTCAAACACAGCACCAGAATCTGTATAAGCGGATCCATCCTGGGGATCTCAAGCTCAACGCCTCAATCCTTGAGCCATCTTTGCGCGGAACTCGGGACCAGCACCCTTCATGGGTCTGGACGTTCTCAGGACCAAACGGACCCGAAGACGCGGAGCTCTTCCATACTGAAAGTACGCTGATTTGTTTTCCTTCTTCTCAGCTGCTGACGGACTCCAACAGCGAGAAGATCCATGTGGTACCGCAGCAGTGAGAGGAAAGACCGATGGAGTGAGGAGCTGGACTGGCTGCTGCTCGAAATGGGCACAACCGTCCGGTCCTTCCGTAGAAGCAGTGCGAAGTGGGAGGCTCTTGGGATGCAGGCCGGGCAATCCCCGGGCCACAGTGCCTACGCATTTGGCCAGGCCTCCATGTGGTCGCGTTTTGCGGTTGAGGCTGAGAATGCCTTCGAAGGTGTTGTTCAGAGATTCCCCCCTCCAATTTCCCAGACACAGCGGATTGTATTGTAACTCCTGTAGATGCCCGGCGCGTAGCACGGAAATGGGCCTTCGCCGGCTGGGCATTCCCCTCCCTCCTGAGCAGCTGAGAGAATTGCTGATGGGACCCCCAGGCGGCGTGGCGACAAAGGCGCAGGCTTCTGCCCGAAGCAGAGTGGCGGATCGATGGATGGCGGCGAATGTAGCGCTGTCTGGCCATCGGATGCTCTGTTTAAGGAGGCCTTGGCCGGCCTCAAATCCGTGAAGCCGTGGAGGTGCGGCGGCCCATGATAGCGGCCTCCCGTCCTGGCAGGCACACTCTGAGTGTCTTTCCCGCCGTCAGCAGCTATAGGACGTGCGGCTTTTGTATTGCTTTTAACAGTTTTCCCAGTTTCAGGGCCACAAATTCCGGCTGCCATCAGCCCCTCCGTCCACATTGGGCGCCCTATAAAGCCGATCTCCGGAGGCTGTTGATCCCCAGCGGCAGTCGATCCCCGGCAGCCTTTGCATGAAGCCATATCACTGCCACGTCCCGGTGAACCCCCTTCGCTTCGCTCTCTTCAAGACACTCAGACAGACCTCGAGCCGCGCGGGCGATTCAATGCGATGTACACCCCGTGCGCCACACCCGGGTGGATCCTGCGGATTTCCTCGGCCACCTGGCGTCTTCAAGGGCGTCGGCTCTCTCGGCCTATCACGGGCTCCAGGGGGCGCCTGGGAGCCACGGTGTGATCAGGGCTTCCAGGAGGTCAGGGATTCCGCTTCACGCGTTCCTGTGCCCAGGCCGGCCGGTTCAGTCAGGAATCACGACAGCGCCGGCAGGCAGGGATGGTGATGTGGAATACATGAATGCCTTCATTGCCAACACACCGCCATACAGATTGCACGCCGATGCCTATTTCACCGCTGTAGCATACAAACCTCACTCAAATTGGCGACGAAGCCGTGCATGGTGTTAGCAGCGTTGCCTGAGAAGGAGAGAGAGACGAGTGTGGCGATGGGCGCGGAAGCAGCCATCTCGTCTAAGTTTGCGCGCAGTGAGGGCAGCATGACGACGCAGGGTCGCAGGCGCGCTGCTCAGGCGTTCAGGACGCGGGCCACGAACGGCGCGAGGGGGTCTGCGCGGAGCGCCGCGACAAGGGCGACACGAACGGCGTCCGATGCACACGTCCCCGAGGCTAAATCCGAAGTGTGCGCGTATGGTCCATGAGCTCAGGGGCGAAGGAGGAGCGCGAACACGACGCGCCCAGATGAGCAAGCGCACGACGAAGCGCAAATCGTGGTCGCGGGCAGGTGGTCGTCCGAGATCTGTGGAGAACCGCGTGGGCATGGCACACAAGCGCGCACGCGCTCGGACAGGCGGACGCACCCGAGGAGGGTTTGCTGCAGGCGCGGGAGGCCTTCGGAGGTTGGCCAGTGCTGCGTCGCAGTCAGTGGCTGGCAAGGCACGGGAGACGCACCTTGAGCACCAGCATGCCCGACGCGGCTGCCGCGAAGTGGTTGTTCCACAGGAAGCGCCTCGCCCCCTTGCCCTGCTCGATGCCCGCGCTGCTGGTGCCCAATCAGTGCCCTCCAGGCCAGAGACTTTCGGGATGGGGTGGGGACTCAAAAGGTCCCGGGCAGGGCCTGCATCGAGCCGCGCTCTTCCTGCGACACGCCTTTGTAGCGCAGCATGGAGCACGCATGGACGACGAGGACGTCCCCGTGGCCGAACAACGCGCCCTGTGCCTGTGAACGTGCGAGGAGGCCCACGAGCGGGGTGAGGTCCGTCGTGAACGGATCTTACGGGAGCCTGCCGAGCCTGTCGGCGTGAAGCTTGAACGCGTCGAGCAGCACGCCTCAGCCGCAGATCCTGTGCTGGGCCTAATCTACAGCGAGCGGGTGCACGATCAGTGCATGGGCCACGATGTAGACGAGGAGCGAGGAGATGGAGCGGAAGAGAGGATGCACTGTGGATCCCGTACTTGGCCAGCTCTGCGCTGACGTCGTCGGGGCCATGGATGCTGAGAGCGCCGTCTTTGAAGAGGGAGCGGTCGACACGCTCAATGATGCCAAACTGTTTTATCCTGTCTGACCACTGCGTGCCGGATTGGGTAGATAGAACGTAGACACAGACACACCATTCTCATGCGTGGCCTCCAACTTGAGCGCCGCGATGTCCACTCCTATCGCATTGCACGCCATGCCCGTGAGGCCTGCCGTGAGTGCATTCCGCTGCCTGCTGTCAGTGGCAAGCTTGGGTGAGAATGTCGTGCGTTTCGAAGAGCGGGACGGCAAAGCTCGACGGAGCAGTCGAACCCTCATGGAGTTCTCCATCGACGCCCTTGGCAGCTGGGGCGACACGGGGAGAACGGCGCAATGCGTGTGCAGAGGCCCATCAGGATTCTCAGAGGCGGACTGGATGCGGGCATTCATGGCACTCACCTCAGCGTTCAGACCCCACCCATCGCCCGAATCCCTCGCCCTAACACTTGCAAAGGCAATTGGCCCATTGGTGGCGCTATCAATCGTCTTCATGGGGCGTGTCGAGGGCGCAGATGGGAGGAGGAGACAGGCGGCCCATATTTGGCGCCCGCGGCATCGCGATAGCGCGCAGCGTGGGCAGGCCCACCGCGTGACCACGAGCCCGCCATGGAATGGCGCTATGGCTTTGAGGAACGCTCCCTCCGTCTCTTTCTCAACGCAAGGTGGGCACAATCCATCAGCACGGTGCCCGCAGCCGGGCTCGAAGAACAGGTTGAGGTGCTCCAGGACCGTAGACGGGAGCGCAGCCGACAGTTTCGACTGTGTGGCGCGCCGAAGCATAGCAAACGAGGCTGGTGATGAGTGAGGCCTGTGAGAAAACCGGAAGCACATATACTGACTCTGTAACTGACGGATCGCCCGCCGCCCTGCCTTTATATTCTCGCGCCTGCTTCCCCATCTCGCCATGTGATTGCCTCCTGCCTCCTGGCTCCTCCCCGTCGCCTCTCCTGCCCGCACTCCCCGCTACCGCGAGCCTCTCCGAGGTCAAGCGCGTCCTCTAATCCGATCCCGCCTTTCTGCTCGTCTCCGACTCGCCCAACCTCCGCGCTCCGCGACCGTAACAATTTGTACACGATTGCAATTCTAGAATAAACAGTCCTCACATTGTCCCACGCAGATTGCGACATCGCGGCCACATGTGAGGAAGTCCTCAGTGTGAGCAACAGCAGCTGGAGTAATACGCAGTAGGCCTCAGTACGGCGCGCTCGAGAAGAGTGCAAGACTATATAATCCGTGCCTGTAGCAATGCGCAATACTGCACCATTTTGAATTATTCGAACGTCACGCGTCACAAGCCCTCCGAAAGTTCGAAATATCTGGGGTCAGTCACGCATCACAAGCCCACAGTTCGAAATCGCTGGATGGGCGCTTCCCGGCATACGCATTAATTCGTTTCGTATGCCCGGAGCATTTTCGGCCTTCTGGGCGTGCTCTGTGCTAACCCGTGGCATAGATGAGTGCTTTTTTTCTCTAATGATGGTGCACCCAGCGTGTTAAAGACAGTCTGGTTCGAATATTTCAGGGTGGTCACGCCAGCCCGGCCCCCAGTTCGAATCCACCTGGCGTACTTGGGCTGTCACGCACCAAGGCCCGGTTCGAATAATTCGAAACGGTACAGTGGAATACAGCACAGAACGAGCAAAGTGGGATGAAAGTGAGTAAAGAAGTGCGCGTTCACCCTCAGCACGGCGCGCTCGAGAAGAGCGCAAGACTGAGGGCAGCGCTGCGCGGGCGGGATGGTGTAAGTGACGAACGCGACTGACGGCTGCGGACTGGCGCGCGTGTATTTCAGCAGGAACGAGAGAACGCGAGGCAGGAAGAAAAGTAATGGTGTCGTAGGATAGACCGTGGCAGAGCGAAAGTCCGGGCGGCATCGAGATAAACATGGGCGCACATTGCGCGCACCACGCGGCGCGGGATCAGTGTGCCGCGAGCGTGGACGGCCAACGTCCGGCGACGTGCCGCTTGCGGGGCGCGGGTTGTGCTCCAGCACTCAGCGTGAGTGTTAGCACAGGCGCATCAATGGGTGCCCCCCCGTTGGATAAGCTCGCGCAAGCGGTCGCCTTCTTCACGCCCGATCTCGACCGCCGTCCGCCTTGTCCCAACGCTGTCGACCCGCCACCACCGTTCAACGCGCATTGGTCCATACTTCGCATCCTCCTCCCAGTCCTTCCGGTGCGTGAAGTCGGCCGCTCCAGCTCGGGGCCAAGACATCGCAATGGCGCGCAGCGTGGGCAGGCTCGTCGCGAACTCCTCAGGGAATGAGGCCACGGCCTCGAGGAATTTCCTCTCTCTCTCGGGACACCCCTTTCCCCATCCCACGGGATGCCCGCAGCCCGCCAAAAAGAAGAGATTGAGGTGCTCCAGCGCTGTCGACCGGAGTGCATCCAGCAGTGCCGACTGTGTGAGGCGTTGTGCGCAACAAAAGCATAGTCAGTGAGCCTGGTGAGAAGGGAGGGGTGCAGGAAAACTGGACTGACCTTGTAGATGACAGGCTTGCACTTTCCCTCTGTGACGGTGATCTCCAGGGAGTGCAGGCGCGGATTTCCCTGCAACAGGAAGGCCCACATCTGCCTCGCGTCGTCCGAATTGCCCGCCGGGGTCGGCGCACTCCACCGCGCCGGCTCCGGGTCGTTCAAGACGCCCGCCGTGAAAACCCCCAGGGTGATAGGCCGGGTGGCGCGTACAAGGGGGGCGAGGAGCCGAGCGTCGTCCGTTTTGACGAGTGGGAAGGAAACCTCGCCCAGGGATACCAGGGGACTTCTCCCAGGCGCTTGGCACTTTCTGCAGGAACGCCGATGGAGCCTGAGATGCGGAGTTCCGCAAGGTGGAGGGGACTCCGGGAGCCATGTGCCGGCATAACCAGCGCCGCGGGAGGGCCCACAGCCGCAGCTGAAGATGGCACGCTTCGACGTTGGCGCAGGCGTCAACGAGAACGGCGGCGATGTCGGGGGGGCAGCAGAGTGAAAGCTCCCTGACTGACGGGATGGTGACTGAGGGGTATGGACCAGGGATGGCCGGCCCCGCCTCGTCGGAGCTAAAGCAGAGAGAGCGCAGTGTCCGGGTGCAGGAGAGGGCGGCGACGAGGGCGGTGATGTCGAGGGTGGCCTCACTAGACCAGGAGTCGGTGAGCTGGATGCGAAGGGTGGTGAGGTTTGGGGCGGCCAGGACCATCGGGAGTTGCTGGACGGTCCTCGGCCCCGTTCCACGGAAGACCACCTGCTCGAGGCGGCCCATGGCGCCCAGTGGGACCAAGCCGCACTGCGGGCTCTGAAATAGTCCGGAGTCGTCGAAGTAGAGGCGTTCGAGGCGTTCTGTCGCAGCAAAGAGGCAACTTATGTGGGCGAAGTCGGGGTCGGTGAGTCCAAAAAGTGTGAGGCGGCGAACGTATCAACCGCGGCGGAGCTCGAGGAAGGGGCCGCTTGTCGATAGGACTTCGGACAAGGCCAGCACTTGGAGGCCGGTGGAAGGGGGCTCCTCGGGGATGTCGACAGTCAGCGATCTAAACGCATCGGGGGCGTGCAAGAAATAAAGCCTTTTCGCGGTGTGGGACAGCGAGAAGGCATTTTGCCCATCCAAGAGCGCGAAGACCATGCACAGGAGCTCGTTGGGAAGGGAGAGGAGGCTGAGCATGTCTGAATGAAGGCCGTATGCTGGGAGGGAGTCGTCGCAATAAAGCCGCTGCGGCAGGGGGGAGACGGGTGGGTTGGTGGAGGGGTGTGGTGGTGGGGCCGTTTATGTATCCGTCCCCTGGTTAGGCCACGTCGAGTGAAGAGTGCGGCTGAGCCGTCAGCGGTGTTCCTTTCTTTGCGCAGTCACGGCCAGAACAAAGGGGCCTTGCGGTGGGCAGGCTCTCGGGTAGCGAGGCATGCGGAGCTTGGCCCCCGGCGGGGATCGATTGCCGACCGGATGGGCGCTGCCACCCGGAGCCCGTCGGAATTCAACCCCCGGCGGGGCTCGATTAGCGACCGGACCAGGGCCGCCTGCTGGCATGCCGTGGGCGTAATCCGACCTCCGCCGGGGATGGCATATCGATGCCCATGGGCTTGCCGCCCACACGCGTGGCTCGAGCGGCGTTCCCCCATTCCCACTGTGGCTGAGACCTAGCTGAGGCGCCGCCGAGCCTGTGGCCCGGGGGCGACGTATCGCGTATCGATGGGAGCGCTTTCCGAAAGGACTGGGCTTCGCGCCCCCTGCATTGTGGCCGCGGTCCCCGCTTGCCACGCGGCGATGAGCCCGTCAAGGGGTCTTCTTTGTCTTGGTCGACGCGCGCTCGCGAAAGCCGGGCCTTTGTTCGCCTTTTGCAGTGCCATCGCGCCCTGAGCATGGTCGCCCCGGCTGGCTGGCCCTCCGCTCTCGCCTCGGCAGACTGCCGCTGCGCTGTTCTTTGAACGTCGCTCTGTGCGTAGGCCGGGGTGCCACAGACGGGCGACGGCTCTCGTGTCATAGCTGCCCATTCCACACAATCCCACGCAACGCACAGCGCGCGCGTGGGTCCCCGCCTCCCCTAGCTTGCGACTGACGCGATCTAGGCCTGTGCAGCATCGAGCAAAAGACCGACGCGCGGGTGGTTTGCCTTTCGACCAGGACGAAATGCGCCTGACAGTTCAAAAATCGGCCCATCAGCGATGCAGATGCTCAGCCGGATGAAATGCATGCTTTCTGCCAGCTTCTATCCGCATTTCCTCCCAGCAGGCGCCCTGCATTGCCCATCACGATGCGCCGTGGCAGCGCCGCGTATGCGTTGCTTCTTGCCGTTTGCCGGACGCCTGTGCGCCCACTCAGCCCGCCCCCCTCTGCGGCGACATCATGACCGGGGCCGCCGTCTTCAGCCCCTCTGAACGCGTCTTCAGCCCTCTAAAACCTTCTGAAGCCTGTGCGTTCTCACTGGGCTTCAACCACACAACGCCCATGCATTGCCCACATCAGGAAAACCCTCACTTGCAAATGAGCACTAGTGAGCACTAATGAGCTGTAAATTAGACGATTAGTTGGTTTGCAATAATTGGTTTGGTTCCCTTGCTAATAAGACACTGAATCTCTAATTAGTGCAAACAAAGACATTAAGTAGTACTCATGGAAGGGTGTGTGCAGCATGCTAGACACCAAATTAGTTCGATATAAACAAGAAGTTAGAGTGAGGATTATTCACTTACTATTGCAGCATTAGTTCGATATAAACCAGAAGTTAGAGTGAGGTTTATTCACTTACTATTGCAGCATTACACACCAATAGTCACACTGAAGACATTTACTTGAACCAGATTAGATGTATTAGCAAAACGAGAAAGTAAAGTAGCAGATATAATCAAGGCGGAGGTCGGCGGCGATATACTATGGCGGGTATAGTAGGCAGTGATACGACGTGCCGAGCGAGCGGGAGCGCGCGCAAGCAGACACGTGGGCATGCAGGTGAGGTTGAGCGCGGGTGAGGTCGAGGTCAAGCAGACATGGACAAAGATAGAAATAGAACGGTTGAGTATAATAAGATGGTGCACGACTCCAACGAGATCGAGCACTGCGTAGAGGGTGGAGATTTGAGGGAGCGTGGACGGGCTTGATCAAAAACGAGGGTGGGTATCGGGTGACAGAACGCGGGTGGGGAATGGGGATCGTGGGATGGTGTGGCGATTCACTCAGTCATCTTCCGGCATGGCAGAGACGTCAAGAAACCGTGGGGCCTTGCGGGTAACCGATCGGCGTCCCACACTAGTACCAGAGCTACGAAGGAAACGCATAAGCATCAAGGATCATGTGAGGTACAAAAGCTTACGTTGTCACTGTCCGATAGAAACCGTGCATGAGGGCGTGGTACTTCGTGACGCTCTGATCGCGTATATCCATGAGAATGTCCATGACATCGTCATACTTGTTAGAATACGTGTTCCCTCAGAAATCCTGCTCTTCGCCAACTCTCAGGTCTACAAGTGCTGCGTAAATCTTGTGTGTTGATAAGCCATCTAGAACGAACCGTGATAATGACTGAGCTTACCGCTGTGGCAACAAGCGCAAGCATCGGCGCAGGAATCTCCTTCTCGTCGGGCTTGCTGGCAACAGACGAGGACAGCGAATCTCTCACTGCATATCCAACACTTGACGACTTCTTGAAGAACGAAGTACGAAGGATGTTCGTGAAGATGGGGTCACTGAATGGTTCTCCGCCGTGCACGATGTCGTTCTGGCACAGTGCAGTGAGTGAGGTGTATGCGTGGGGCGTATGAATGACACGTGGGACGTGCACGCGCGAGGAGGACGTGTGCGAGCAGTCGGAAGTGCACGCATGCAAAGTGTGCGCATGCAAGGAGGACGCGCACGCATGAGAGGGGGACGCGCAAGAATGCGAGGAGGACACGTGCGCATGAGAGGGGGACGCGCGAGGATGCGAGGAGGACGCGCGAGGATGCAAGGAGGATGCGCGAGGATGTGAGGAGGATGCGTGCGCAGACGAGGAGGATGTGCAACGCAATTGGGGGAGTACGAACGGCAAGTGCCAACTGAAACTCACAATGTAATCACAACGGTAGATGAAGCGATCCTCTTCAGTGAGCCAGTCGATCTTGTGCTCGTCCTCTGTGTCTAGACTGAAGAGACCACCCGAGAGTGCAGTGACGTTGGATTTGACTCTCCCACGGAAGATTGGGATACGTTGTGCTGGCTGGTGGTCGAAACGCGATCACAATCTGCAAGTTAAACAGGACGAATGAATCAGCACTCACAATCCCTGAGATCTTCCGAGCGTAGCTTGCATCGGTCTTGAGCCTTGTCGCAACGTCTCGGTCCTTGAGGGCTTCTGCGCACTTGACAAGAGTCTGGCGAATGGCAACGTTGTACTTCTCGGGGCCATCTGGGAACGCGTTCTTCAACACGAGGTAGTACTCTATCTGAGTGATCGCCGCTTCAGCAACGTGTCTGACGCGTAGCGGCTGCTTCCGGAGGTTGTATCGGCCACTGCTGCTGCGCACAGGCTCGATACTCTCGCCATGGTCAATATCCTACCCAAGCATATGAGTATCTGCCACGGCGGCGATAACCCGGACACATACCTCTTCTGCGGAAGAATATTCTTCGTCTCTGGCCTTCTTATGCGTGTGCCCCTCGTCCGACGTATCGTCGTCCGGTGTGTTGATGAATCTTGGTTGCTGCAGATGCGTCAGAACTTTATGATATTCACCGGATGGGGTATCACAAACCTCATCAACTCGGGTCCGTGGACGCTTCATGGCCCCACCATTCGCATTTTTGGCCTTCACTGTGGTCGCCATGGTTGACTGTGAAGCTTTCACGGACGTGGGCTTGCGCGTTGCACCTGAATATCAGCTGCAGTGAGCGCGGGAACGCACACAAGAGTTGGTGCGCACCATAATCAACCGACTTCTGTTGCGACGGACTGGTGTCCTTGTAGGAAGATCGGGACCGCGAGCTGGGATTGGATACCTTTCGCAGAGCAGTCGCAGCGGGCGTGGATACTGGGTACGCAAGAGACGAGCAGAACACTTACCTTTGCCTTCTTGCGCAGTGGCTGAAACGTCAGATATGCAGCGTTAGAATTCATCTTGAGCAGAAGTCGTAAAGACTCATGCAGACTCACCTTCGGCGGCTCGTCCCCATGACCATCATCCTCTGATTCCGACTCGTCTGGCTGCGATGCACGCTTCCGGTGACTGGGAATCTCGGACCTAGATTCGGGCTTGTGCTGCAGTTTACGATTGTTCTTGTTCCGACTAGCCTTCTTAGTAGCTGTAGACTTCACATGCGCCGTCACGGTGTGTTGAGAGTGGCGAAAGGAAGATGGAGGGGTTGAAGGATCCCGGTTGAGGGAGGGGGAGTCGGAATCGGAATCGAGGTCATTTTGAACCCATTCGGCGGTCTAAATAGAGAGACGTGGCACAGGGAGAGGTGATGAAGATGATCGATGGTGAGAGCGAGGATGAAGTAGTAGACAGTAGACGCGAGCGCGCGCTCACCTCGTCTGCCAGGATCCGCTCGAGGTTCTGATCATTCTTTCCCACTAGATCATCTTCAGCCTCGACCTCGCCATTGTTGCCTTCATCGTCCTCATCATCTTCCTCGCTGCCGTCATCAGAGCCTTGCGCTGCAACTTGATGTTCGCCATCGCTTCCTTCAACCTCATTGAAGTCCTGCTCGACGACCTCGACCTGTGTTCGCGGCAGCCGTGACGACTTCAATGGTGGTGGCGACTCCGATCTCTCCGGCTCTGGCTCATGTTCCAGAGTCCCTGCAGCCGAAAAACGTCGTCCTACCTTAGACAAGCTGGCACGAGGTTGAGACTTGCGAGGCTGCTCAGCCTCGCTTTCACTGCTGTCGTCCAGTATAACAGGTGCCTTGTACAATCTTGTTTTCTTCGTGTTATTTGCAGGTGTCTGACCAGTATTTGCAGAGACATCGTCTTCGGAAAAGCGATACCGTCAGTCATGACCTACGGAAGGTACATATAGTCTTACTTTGGTGAGCGGTGGCAGCTGACTTCGACGATGATGTAGTGGTCTTCTTTGACGATTTCGGAACCAGGGAAGCCCAGACTGAAAGAATCAATGCCAGCAAATGCATCAACTCCGATACATTAGTACACATGGTGAGCTGAACACACCACGCTTCTCGAGGGCAATGGCCTTGGACTGACGCTGGGCTCGTGTAGCTGGAACGTGTGTGTAGCGTTAGTGATGCACTCACTGTGAAGGTATGTTACACCGGAAACTTACGTGGTACGTCGTCAGTTGGATGTGTCTGCGTTGTGTCGTTGCCGAGTCCTTCCTCATCCGACTCGTCAACGAGAACACGCTTCACTTGACTGCGGCGGCGCATGGATCTGATCACAGTACTGCACAGGGAGGATTAAAATGCGGAGGAGTAAGGAGGGCGATTATTCGAAGGGGTTAAACCAGAATGAGAGACGGCCCGAGAGAGTGGGACTGCAAGAGGACGAAGAGAGAGGGATTCCAGAACGAACGAGTGATGAAAGGATTGAGTGGTGAGTGGTGGTGTGGTACCGGGAGTAGAGGGGAACGATACTGAGAAGAGTGTGCCAGGTCAAGAGCAGGGGGCTGCGGTGCGCACAAGTTATGTCGGCAGCGGAGTTTGGGGTTTCACCGAGCACAACTCCGACCCCGGGCCTGAAACGTGAGTTCGACCCAGACCGCCTCCTCGCCCCGCTGACACATCGACCAGCTATACTACAAGCCCCTCGCCCTGGGCCCGCACTACTTTGTGCTCGCACTGAGTCGGCCACGCGTCCTTTCACCACCCCACATTCTCACTACTACTGGCCACGTTCCCCTCCGATATGCCTCCTTCATGCAACGGCTGTGGTCGCTCATTCACCGGTCTATTGGGTTACGCAAATCACCTTCAACAAACGACGCAGCCATCATGCGTTGCCATCCGTCTACAGCTCGAGGAATATCAGTCACCTGACGAGCTCTCCGACTCTCCAGGCCCGGACCCCAGTGCGGACGGCGGTGATGAGAACATACAAGCGGTCCAATTTCAAGGCGACATGTTCGGAGACTACAACGAGTATGACTGGGAAGACTACGACGAACACCAGCCGGGTGAAGATCCTTTCGGTGCCGGCGACGAGAACATCGAGCCAGAACTATCGGACGACGCAGACGACGACACAGACGACGAAGATGCCGCCAACTTCGATGCTGAAGGGTTATGGGAGCGTATGCCATCCTCAGCAGCAAGCGATTCGTCCTCTAGCACTGACGGCAACGGTGAAGCGGGCGACAAAACTCCTGACTCAGAGGATCTTGATGCCCATATACGTCGTCGCGAAGAGCGCTGGAAGAAGCAACGTGTGCAAGACGCTCTGCGCGCAACCACCCACGTCGTGCACTTTCCGGACGCGCTTGCCGGGTCACCTGTCCATCTTCAACCAGAACAGACGACCTACCAGGAGACCCGCAGCGCCGTTCAAGCTGGCGAGAACTTGAACAATCTGTACGCGCCTTTTCTTTCTTTTATCGACTGCGCGGTGGCCATGTGGGCGAAAATGCGTGGACCGGGCTCTACAGCGGTCACGGATCTGCTTGAGATTGAAGGGGTGCGTCTTTCACCATGCCAGTCCATTGCCATTCACTGAACAGTATCTGTTCTAAGCTGGCTTCTCGTCTCGGGCTCTCCTTCAAGAACTCGCGGGAGCTGAACAAGATCATTGACACGAAGCTTTCATCGCCACGTCCTCGTTTCAAGCGCCAAGAGATACTCATTGCTGGTGAAGTTTTTGAGGTCTTCTTCCGCGACGTTATCGAGTGTATTCGGGCGCTCTATGGCGACCCGGAGTTCACTGGACTGCTAGTATTCAAGCCGGAGAAGCACTACGCCGACCCAGACCATAACATCCGAGTATACTTCGACATGCACACTGGGAAGTGGTGGTGGGAGACCCAGGTACGTCTGAAGTGTCTTTCCTTTGTTTCTCGCTCACAAGCTCATGCGCATGTGCTATGCAGAAGGCTCTCGATCGAATCAAACCGGGGGGCACAATCATTCCGATCATCATCTCGTCCGACAAGACGCAGCTTACCGTCTTCGGCAACAAAACCGCCTATCCTGTGTATCTCACCATCGGCAACCTCCCCAAGGATATCCGCCGCAAGCCTTCACGCCGTGGACAGATTCTGCTCGCATATCTCCCCACAACCAAACTCGAGCATGTGTCTGTCAAGGCCGCCCGCAGTCGCATCCAAGCGAACCTCTATCATGCATGCCTCGGACAGATATTGAAACCGCTTCGAAAGGCTGGTATACACGGGATCAATATGGCGAGCGGCGACGGCATCCTCCGACGAAACCATCCCATACTCGCCATCCACGTCGGGGATTACCCAGAGCAGCTACTCACAACGTGCTGCAAGTCAGGGGAGTGCCCTCAATGTGACATCGACCGCGACGAGGTCGGAGCCACAACAGATCCCGACCGGCCCCGTCGCGACATCGATTTGGTTATGGACGCGCTTTCCGTCGCCACGTCTGGAACGTCGAGGGAGTTCGTCAATGCCTGTGCTGATGCGCGGATCAAGCCGGTCGCTTTTCCCTACTGGCAGCACCTCCCTTTCGTCAACATCTTTCGTTCTGTTACGCCGGACATCCTGCACCAGCTACATCAAGGGGTCGTCAAGCATGTCATCTCGTGGCTCAAGGCCGCCTACGGTGCTGAAGAGATCGACGCTCGGTGCCGTCGAATGCCTCCAAATCATCAAATCCGCGTCTTCATGAACGGCATCACACGTCTACAACGCGTGACGGGGAAGGAACACGCCGCAATCTGTCGCTTCCTCCTGGGACTTATCGTCGATCTTCCGCTCAGGGATGGGTTCTCTCCGGTTCGACTTGTACGCGCCGTCCGATCTATCCTCGACTTCCTCTACTTGGCTCAGTATCCGTCGCACACGTCAGACAGTCTTGATCTTCTCAAGGCTGCACTGCGTAGCTTCCACGACGACAAGGACATTTTCATCGCTCTCGGTATCCGGATCCACTTCAAGATACCGAAGCTCCACTCCCTCGATCATTATCCCTCCTCCATCACTCTCTTCGGCACAACGGACAACTACGATACACAGTACACAGAAAGACTGCATATTGAACTCACCAAGGACGCTTTCCGGGCCACGAATCGCAAGGACGTCTTTTCGCAGATGACGCTCTGGCTTGAGCGCCGCGAGAAGATGCAGCGACATGCCGCCTTTGTTGCGTGGCGTCTCGACGTCGAAGCCCCAGGTTCTGACGACTCCTCATTAAGGTCATCATCGCCTCTACCCCGACCTACTCCTGTAACACAGAGCTCAGCCCGCATTCATCTTCCGAAGTGGCCGAGCGTACGCCGGGTGTCACTTCGAACATGTCACGACGTCTACGGCACCCCTTTTCTCCGCGACGCTCTTGCAAGGTTTATTGTATCATTCCGCGATTCGACACTCACCTCCGCGCAAATCGAGCGGCACGCCGTGGGGCTGTTCCTCCCTTTCAACGCAGTACCGGCGTTCCACAAGATCAAGTTTCACTTGCCAAGTACACAACAGATGGGTATTATGGATGAGATGCAGGACGTCGCGCACGCACGTCCTCAGCGCACCGATAGGCGAGGGAGGGTCGTACCGGCTAGGTTCGATACTGTGCTGGTGAAGGAGGATGATAGTGATAACAAGCAGGGCATTCACAGTACGTCGTCTCAGTACTCCTCACTGTCCGACACAGAACCATCAGTTGAAATACTGTCGCTCTCCAGAGTACCGCATCGGCCGTGTTCGCCTGGTTTTCACTATCCCGAAGGCCGCTCATGCATTCCTCTTTCCTCGACTTGTGCCTCCACAGCACCTCGCCTATGTAGAGTGGTTCACGGCTTTCACAGAGCCAGACCCAGTGCATGGTATGTACAAGGTCTCGCGCTGTCGAAACGTCAATGGCGATCGTCTCGCAAGCGTTATTCCCGTCACAGATATCTATCGCAGCTGTCATCTACTTCCTGTATTCGGTGCAGTCGCACGTCGCGCTTGGACGAGTAGCACCGTTCTGGATACCTGCGAGTTGTTCTACTTCAACCCCTTCAGTGATCTTCTCATGTACATGACATGTATCTAGTAGTATATTCGCTCTTCTTGATTGACGCAGCCCCAATATTAGAAAAGTGCTTGATAATTCAACTAATGGACTGTCTACACATGCTATCTGAACCAGCTCTGTGTGTCGGAACGACAGCAACGTTGTGCGTGATCTGTACCAAGTGTCCGTCGGTGCTGGCGCCCGTGTTGGAGCTCACGCGCCGGCGCCGCACTCCTTAAACTTCCTCTTCCTCCACCACCACCACCTCCACCACCACCACCTCCTCATCCGCTCTCCTGGCTTGTATGATCTTGTCGCCGTTATTTTCCTCACAACTCTGACACCCTACAAGACGCCGTTTGCGAACACCCAGCTGCTGGAAAGCGAAGATGATCTTCAATACGAAGCTCTGCAGCTTCTCGAGCAAGACATCACGGAGCACATTGTCGGTCCTCGAACAAACACACGAAGACCCAGTATGTCACTCCTCTGCCTGAGGCATGGCCGATCGAAATCTAAGATGGGGTCGGCTCTCGAAAGTGGCCCGCGAACACTTCGCGCGTCCAACTGCTCCAGGTCAGCCGTATCCCCGCCCAAGCCTCCACCATGCACTCGCGCCACCTGCTTCGTCCCACCCCTTCCACCGCGCCCCCGAGGCTCTCAAGCCAGAGCCCACGACGACGACAAGACGCGCAGAGAAAGCAGAACGTCTCCTCGCTGCCTTATCTCTACCCGAACTCCCCCCGCATCCCCACCCGCACAAGGCGTGCCCCAACCCGAGATCTCGGACCAGCCCACAAAGCCATTAAGCACCACGCAGAGTGCGCCGAGCGCGCCGCAACGAGGCCGACACCCGCCTTCAGATGATCCGTGAAGCTTGGATCCCCGGGGGCTCAACATTTTCCTCAGCCACATTGAGGGCGAGAGCGCAAACTTGGCCCGCGACGCCTTCACTGTCGCTGTCGTCGAAGGAGGCGTCTAGGTCCTCTAGGTCAGCCATATCCCCACCTAATCCTCTCCCTCGTTCCGCTTTCGCCTTTACCGTGGCTCCATTCTGAGACCATGTTCCCCATTCCTGCGCTCGCCGCGCTCCTTCAACTCGCTTCTTTCATCCTTCCCGCCCTCGCCAGTCCTGCTTGGGATGTGAAGCCAATAAACTCGGCTGTCATACCCCTTGTCGTTCGCTCCCCGTACCTCTCTGCATGGCTCCCGCAGGGCAACGGTATCGCGCTCAACGTGGCCTGGCCCACGTTTTGGAACGGGAATGTAAGTCCATTCGACTCGTGTTCGCGAACGCGTCCTTAGACTGAAAATATTGCAGATTGTCGACTGGGCTGGGTACACTAAGGTCGATGGGACGGCATACACTTGGATGGGTGTGCCCGCTGTGCCCAACACCAAGGCGACCCCCTCTACGCAAAAGAGTTTTCAGGTAGTAGCAAATCAGGTGCCGTTCATCAAACTCAGTCATCGCGTGCCACCCACCTCGCGCCACCCCTCCCACCGCGCCTCCAGCTCCCCGGCCCGTGCCACTGGCCGCGTGAGGATCTCCTCACAGCCCTTCCAGCCCATCTCGCTTCCCCCACCTTCAACCAGCACGACTGGCTCGCGTGTCCGCCCACACCCCGGGAGCATGGAATATGCCGCGCCTTTGTCCGGCCCGCCACCTCTCCTCCCGCGAAACACCCCCGCAGCGAACGAGAGGACGACCAAGGCCCCGCCCATGGTCATTTCCTTTCTGTAAGTGTCTTCACCGCTCGCTTGTGAATCACCACTCACGTATGCCCTTGGTTTCGTCTCCTTGCACGGCTATGGCTATATGCGTGCAGCCCTCCGACTCACCACTCCCCGCCTACCCTAACGGACACTCGACCGACCGCTCCCCAGCTCTCCGTTCGCCACGCACCTCCTCCGCCCGGCCTCCACCCTACTCTTACCCCGCCTGCCCGTATGGTGATCCCCACTACTCCCACAGGGGCCACCCTCAGCCTCGACGCCCCCGCTCCACTCCTCGTGGACGCTCCTCACGCAGCGGCTCGCGCGGGAGCTCCATGAGCCTCGACGACATGCTCATCGACGCTGCGACCGCGGACGGGATGCCCCCGCAGCAGCTGCAGGGCCCGCGCGGCCGCTCCTCGTCGCCCAGCCGCGCTGACTACCACATGCGCGGGCGCGCGGCCATCCACGTGCACTCTTGCGCGGGCGCGCGGCCATCCACGTGCACTCTAGCCATCCTAGAATGACCATGCAGGGTGGGTCGCTGTCGGGTCAGACGCAGACGACTCACATCTTCGTGACTCCGCAAACCGGCCCAAACGTCGAGAAGCCCAAGCTGGGCGTTTTGAGAAGCAACGGGAGCATCATGACGATGGGTGAGTCCTCTATGATGTAGCCGCTTTGCGTCGCGCTAACTGTTCTGCAGGTCTGAATGGGAGCATCGTCTCGGGTCCGGCCACCATCGGCGGTGGTGGATTTCCCGCGACCAACCACCAGGGCCAACGCATCTGCCGTCAATGTGGACTCGCCGGCCGTTACAAGGACGGCAAGTGCGTCGAGAAGTGGGGTCCTGGTCCCGAGGGCCCCGGCACCGTCTGCGATTGGTAAGCAACCGCCGCTGCATCGCCCCCACGTTTTTCTCCTGACACGTTCGGCAGATGCGGCAAGAAAATGAAGCGTGTTGAGCGGCGCGGAACGTTGGACTCGATGTGTTTGAACGCCCACCTCCACAACCAGCCTTTGGCGATCCACCCCTTGGGCGCTCCACAAGCGGCCCCAGGCTTGTACACCAACGGGCGCAGCTCGCACTGGGGCTCGGACCACTCTGTCCACCGGACCGACACCATCCCCATCCACCCTTCTCACTCGTCGCGCGCCCCTGGCCTGAACGGGCTCTCCTCGAGCGCCGTCTACTCCTGGCAAGATCGCGACCGGGACTACGACCGCGAGAACGGCGCATCACCGTACCACCGCTCGTCTCACTGTGGCCCTACCCCGCCCGGCATCGCCACGCTCCTGCGGGACGACTACGACCGCCGCCCCCGCCCGTCCTCTGCCCACAAGCCGAACGGGTTGATGAACGGCCACGCGCGGAGCTCGTCCAGCCGGTCTGCGAGCCGCTCCCCGCTCCCGAAACCCGCAGCTGCGACGACGAACACAGGTCGCGGCTCGTCGCGCGGCTCGAAGTCGTCCACGTCCGACACGATGGACACCGATGCGGAGGGCGAGGACGTGGACGCTGATGCGGACGCAGACGAGGTGGTCGTAACAGACGCGGAGTTCCTCCTCGCCGCGGACACTACGGAGCGCAACACCTCGACGGACGAGGAGTCACTGAAGAAGGAGGACGCATGACACTTGAACACCGACGCGTCCACGACGCCCGCGCGTCCGCAGAACGAACCTAGAAGAATGACAGCGCCGCGGTCGCTTGCCACTCCGCGCAACGAAGCTGCTAGGCTCTGCATGGCACCTTAAGCACTGGGGCGGCGCGTCGTGGTGCCCATCACCTTTCGCACACACCGACGTGTTGTAGTAGATTGATACTTAGACTAACAACAATATATCTTTGCTTTGAGATTGCTCGAGGGTGTTTGAGTAGTCAGTGATTAGCTTGCATTACATCTACTGATGTGAATGCGTGCAAATTGGTGATATTGATTTTTCACAAGTCCTACTTTAGTGTAAATGAGCACTCCCCCAATTCTATTAGTGCAAACGAGCACTTCCCCAATTCCATTAGCGCAAAATATGCGGATTACTTCACCATTAGACCATTAGATGGGTATTAGCTCTAAGATTAGTGGTGTTATCACTCATTTGCAAGTGAGGGTTTTCCTGATGCACGTCTTTTCTCACCGCACCGCCACGTCGTTTGCGTCGCCCCCGCGTCCTCTATCTTGTCCCGCCACTGCCATGCGCCAAAGAACCGAAAGGGGCGACGTCGGTTTGTGAATGCCTTTCATCAGGAAAAACCCCACTTGCTGATTAGAGAAAATTCTCTCTAATTAGTGCTCATTAGCGCGAATCTCTAATCAGCGCGAATTAGAGTAGTACATTCTAATTAGCTCTAAATAGATGCAAATTAGATCTTCAGGAGCTCTTCATTAGCTGCAAGTAGATCTCAAAGAGAACTCAAGTTGTGCCTCATATGTTCATACAATGCTCTCAATAGATCACACAAGGGTAATGGAGATGAAAACACAATCTATATTTATCATACTGCGATATACAGTGTACAGACAAAAAACTACAAGACAAACAGGCATACAGACAGTCGGCCACAGAATCTGATGACAGAAGTGGTATGGGCTGTGCTAGGGATGCAAGCGACGGAGGTGACGTGAGGGCGGAGTGGCTGGCGCGAGCGAGGCTGACTAGGCGGGTCACGATTTCGTGTGCTACAAGTGTCGTTCAGAAATGATTGTGTCGAGATACGCAAATGACTCACCAATATCCATCGGACGACACGGGTCCGCCGGGTGACGCGAGCCTCACGCGCGCGAGACGGCTGAAGTGGGTGAGGCGGTAAATTGGAATGTGACAGGCGAAGTGGGCGTGGGCTAGGCGGGCATGGGCGAGGTGATGTTGGCCAGGGTGACGCGGCGACACGGGCCGGGTGAGGAGGAGGAGGGGGCACGGTGGGCGACGCAGGTGGAGGGCCAAATGGGTGAGTGACGTAGGCAGCGAGGACGATAAGCTCACGCGGGTATGACACGGAGTGGAGAAGTGCTCACCAGGTGTCCTCGAGCTTGACGAGCTCGTGCCACAAGAACGCTGGGGGAAGAGGGAGAGAGAGAAAAAGTTGAGATAGAACAAGCGTACTCACGTTTGCAGTGTCCGTAGTACGGCGGCACTTGGTCCCAGTGCCGACACTGTCAAGATGGTCATAGTCGGGGAACGTAGGGTTGTAGGGGTCGCAGTGGCACGCGTCGTGGGCAGAGGTGCGCAGGCGAAACACGTTAGCGAGGCCTCGGGCTGGCGGCGGAGCGCGGTAGCAACGGTGCAGGGGATCACGGCGACCCGCTCATGACATAGGCGAAGTGGCGGAGGTGGTGGCACAGGCGAGGTAGGCAAGGTCAAGGGCAGAAAGGCGGAGGAATGAGGAGGCAATGAGAGGGAGCAGGGGAGACGGGATTGAGACAAGATGGTGCGCTGGCAGTAGTCGGGGGGCGGCTCTGCAAGCCTCCGCTTTAGGGACACGTGGCCCGTGGGAATCAACGCGCGTCGAGTGGACTCCAGCGCTTGTTACTGCCAGCACCGCGTCGTTGTCGTCCTCATCATCTGCCTCACCTTCCAGCCACTCTACGCGGACCTCCCAAGTCCCCTACGTCGGTCGCGCCAGCCTCTTGCCCTTCAAGCTCCCCTCCGTGTACTTCGCGAACCGTGTAGTCCCTTCCATGGTGAGTACTTGAGTCCTGTACCCTTCCCTGCGCACCCTCCTAGCTTTCAAAGCAGCCTTCGACGACCTCTGTGCCAAGGCGCACAAGCGTCCCGCGGACGACCAAGACGGCCCATGAGATCTGGACCCGACCTCTCGCCCCGGTAGGCCTGTCAACCATGGCCACCCCCAGAGCCCGCATAGGCGTACACGCAGCGCCTCGAGGCTCGCAAGTCGAACACGGGTGCCGCCCCCGAGCACCGAGCACGAGCGGCGCTGGCAGCCCCTTCATTGCAGTCAGTACGTCTCGATAGGCTACACTTCTACGCCCACGCCTCCCACGTCTCGCCCACGTCGCACCCCACAGATATCGCGTCCACCTCACCCACATCGCATCGCGCCCACCATCCCCCACCTCCCTCGCGTCCTTCCCCTGCATCGCCCGCCTTACCCTCCTCGCCCTTGCCGCCACCTGGCCCCTGTCACATTTGCGTCTTGCCCCCGCGTCGCCGCGTTGTTCTCGTCTGCCCCCCGCGTCGCCCACCTCCGGCTTCTCGCCCGCCTTGCCACCACGCCCGCCCTGCCACCTCGCGCCCGCGTCAACGTCCACGTCGCCCGCATCGCCCCCGCGTCGTGCGCATGCCAACATCGGTGTCATCCGTCGTGCCTCTGCGTCGCCCACGTCTTGCTAGCATCCTCCACTTTGCCCGTGTCGTCCCCGCGTCGTCTGCATCGTGTTCGCGTTTTCTCCCCACGTCACCGTGTCGCCGCTGTCTGTTGTCCATGTTGCAACCTCACCTGTATCGCACCCACGTCAGTGTCCGTATCACTCTAGCGTCACCCACATCTCGCATCCACGTCCCCCACATCGCCTCCACATATCCCTTGCGTCAACGTCCATATCGCCCACCTCGCCCGCCCCTCGTTGTCCGCTTCACCCTCTTGTCGCGTCCGCACCATCTGTCTCCCCGTCTCGCCCCGACATGTCGCCTGCATCTCCCGCGTCGTCCGCACGGCTTGTCGTGAAAGCTCTTTACGGAGAACGAGGATGTAGCCATAGACATGCCTGTGTTGAGTGTAGCTAGATACCAATATATTTTGTTCTCTTCGAACATCTATACTGTTGTGAATTATCGATGAAATAGTCTGCTTAGTGATATTAAGCTCTCACCTACAACAAGAGGGTTAAGATCACACTAATTAGAGACATTTTAGTGCAAAGAAGATCCACTTTCTCCAAGAGCACTCATTTGCATGAGAATAGATCTACCAGAGAGCAAATTAGGTAAATTAGATCTAATTAGCAAGTGGGGTTTTTCCTGATGTTCCTCTCCATGCAGCACGCACGCCTTCTCCGAGCAGCGTGCATTCTGGGCTGTCGGGCAGCCCATGGGAAAGCGGCATCCATGTTATGGCCTGCTCCGCCGCCTGTCTGGTTACGAGCTTCGGCGCACACCCACTACGGATGCCCAGCATACGATCGCCCACCACCCTGCCTTTATGTACTGCTCCCACACCTACCGTCACGCTGCGCGATCGCCTCCTGGCTCCTCCCCGTCGCCTATCCTTCCCGTCTCCCCGCTACCGCGAGCCTCTCCGAGGTCAAGCGCGTCCTCTAATCCGATCCCGCCTTTCCGCCCGTCTCCGACTCGCCCGACCTCCGCGCTCCCGCGCTCCGCGACCGTAACAATCCATTGTTTGGTGAATGCTATGGCCTGCTCCGCCTATCCGTTTACGAGCGTCGTCGCGCACCCACAACGGACCTCTTAGCATGTGATCGCTGCAGCCACTAATTAGTGTGCATGGTTCATACGCCTACCTCCGCATCCCTTCGGCACGCGATTGCCTCAGCCTCCCTCGTCATCCCCCGCATTTCCTTCCCTCCCGCTCTGCGAGCCATTCTTACACGCTTACGCCACCCGTACCCACCTAATCGACACCCTCTCCCGCGCACGTGCACCTACCCTTGTCCGCGCCCGCTCGACCTCGCCCGCGCTCCCGCGCGACCGCAACAGTGAACAGCGAACTGGCGGAAGGGTATGGATGCAGCCCAGTGTGAGGGTCTGCATACGCATGAGCAGCGGGAGTGAGGGCGCACATATGAGCGGTGCGAGGCGCGGGAACACATATGAGCAGCGGGAGACGGGGTGCGCTGGTAAACGCAGGCGTGGCGGTGCTACATACGACCAGCAGTAGCAGCAACAGAGCGCCCGCTCATATGAGCTTATCCGAACGCCAGTAGCAGGGTATTTGGTCATTGATATGAACACCAGTGGCGGGGTATTCTGGCGCCACCCAGTGCAGTTCTGATGTCATTACGACATGCAGACGATGAGACATGCCTTGATTATTTTAAGATTGTGACATGCTTTGTTCTCGCCATTGATCGCAATTGCGGAGAGACCATAATCGGTCTTGAATGTGCGTGTCTGGAATTGAGCTGCAGTTAGACCCGATACAAACAGGATGTGATGACCCATACCATCTCATCCTCTAACGTGAGCAATGGACATATCATTAAGGTCACTCTGCGCTCAAATGAGGGCCAGACGTGGGGTCCAGCGGCAAGGGCGGTCTTCCCCGCGCCTGTGGGAGCTTGGACAATGATGTCAACGCCTTTGAGCTGTGCCCGGATGGCGTCGACCTGGAAATCCTTCAGGTTGTTGGGCCAGCGGAACTTGTCGCGCAACATCTGGCGAAGTAGCTGGATGTCTTCACTCGAGAGAGGGCGACGAGAAATCAGGTCCACGAGAGGCCCCTTGGACTGCATATAGTGAGAGCAGGGACCGTGCACCATTGTCGGAGGTGTACAGTGCAGTGTGCGAAGGTCGAGCAAGGAATGATGAGGTACAGACGAGACTCACGCGATGGTGCGCGCATATGGGCGCTTACAGCGCGGCTCGCGCCTTTTTCCCTACGACATTGACTGACAACCAATAGCCTCTGCCCCACAATGTCGTTTGGTAGTGAGTATGCATGGTGTCGTAAAGGGAAGCCTGGCTGATCAAGACCGACAACACAGTCAGTCCTTTGACAGGATGGGCACAAGATACACGCAACCAACCTGAAGCACCTTCTCCACCGTCCCGCACAGCAGGTAACCAGTCCTCATCCAACATCTAGTACCACCATTAACCCCTAGAATAATGCAGGAAATGGTGACAATGCACGCACCTCAGGTGTGGTCTGGAACGCGTGCCCTGGTCAACCACCACCACGCATACAGCCACCCCGACACACCGGCATGAATGACCCGTGGCGCGCAACCCCTTTGCCTCCGGTTGATGATCCTCCCAGCCCAGGAATGTCCATCCAGATCGGGTACCAATATGAGGACTGATGGTAGTGCAGGCTCTCCCCTCCCCGAAGAAGAGTTTGCAACACCACAGCTCCGCCAAGGTGCAAGCCTGGCTCGGCGGTATAGACGTCTGGGAGACGTTATCGAAGGTTGTGTGCAATCCGGACTTCTCGAAACAGACCAACACGTGAAGGACAAAACTGTGCGGGAGGTACAGTGTTACATCGACATCCTCACTATGCTGGAGAAGCAAGGCCTTACCTGGGGCAGCTTCGTCAAGTGGATCTCCGGTGCAAATGGCCATGGCCAAGCTCGCTGGGATGGTTTCTTCTCTTGCTCGAAGGACGTCGTCGGTGTCCTGGACCTGTGGGCCAATCAGTCATCCAAGAATGGGAGAAGAACAGTACGAGAATGGGCCTTCGAGGTGGTCGCACAGGAAGTTGAAGCAGAGGCTAAAGTAACAACTGAGAGCAACTTACTGCAGACCAGAACCCAGGCGTTCACGAACGAGCGGATTCTCTCCTTCGATCTCACAAGTCTCCACAACAGCATCTTTGGCATGTGCCCGGTGTCGACTGCCCTCCTCACTCGCTTTGCCGATACCCCTCGGCAGCACAAGACCGTAACTGCACGGAGCGAGGCTAGTCTGGATGACGAGAGGGATGACCCGTCAGTGATCCGCAAGAAACGAGTAAGTGGGCCCGTACTATACGTCAGAATAGCTAGTGCTGAACCTCATTTGCAGCGAATCGGGACGGTCCTTGTTGATCTGTTAGGCGAAAGAAGTCAGAACAATAGCTTCATCAAGCACACCAATGCTCTCTACTTCTATGCCAACGGGACGTCGCGCCAGTCTATCTCGGTTGCATCTGCCCTCGGGATCTGCAGCAGCTACACCACCATCGTCGGGAGCGCCAAAGTTCACCGTAACTTCGACATGCCGCCACCTGGCCTGGAAGAGGATGACAATGTCGCCCTTGCCGACATCGACGATATTGACCTTGACGAAGGCACCGTCTCTGACCAAGACGACAAGGAGCTGGAGCCAAACGACAGGGGTGTAGAACCCCCAGCGCCACCACCAACTCGTGGACCGAAAACGCGCACAGACATCCAAGGCGAGAGGGACTCACGAGACTCAGGTCCATCTACAAGACCGCGGGATGCCGGCGACGCGATGCGCATGGACGCAGCCGAGGACGCCATGGATGTAGATGTAGAACGCCAAGGGGATAGTAGTCAGCCGGCAGTAGACCACGAGAAGAAGGGAAAGCAGAGCAGACGAGGAAGATGCGAGAGGTGAGTACTTGAGTGGAGGTGTGCAGTCAGGAGATGACTCGAACACGTGCTCGCAGGCAGGCGAAGCCTGAGACGCCCGCGTCTTTCTGGCGGGGCGCGGGACTGCTTCGACGAGTAGGGTACTCTTGCCGCCTGGCTGCTCGGGAACTGGCTCACTCTTCCCTCGCTGGCTATGTCTATGACAACATCAACGTCACATTCAAGGTTTCTGAACAAGTTCTGGGGCATCAAGACACTGTGGAGAGCGGCACATGCGCTACAATCTTCTCGCTCTTTGACGCCTCACCAGCCGACATGAAGACCAAAGATCTTGTTTCTTCAATCAAGACAGCCAGACCCCTCCAGATGGGCGACCTTCGCCTCGATAATGACGACCTGAAGCTCCTCGATAAGTCTATTGCTCATGCTATTCTACGTGTCATCGTTCATGGCAACCACGCATTCACCAAATTCCGTCCACAAGTCAATGCCACCCTTCCCCCCAACGACCACAAAATCCCTCTACACCAGACGTCAATACACCCGCTTCCCACCATGAATATCGACGAGTCTAGCGTGACAGGCAATGCGTCAGTTCTAGACTACATTTTCCGCCGCGAGCTACAGTTCGATTTCAACGCAGCCACGTTCCGCGAAGTCGTACGACTGGTCTTTGGCGACCAGCTCTCTATCGCCCGCCTCCGCACTCTCATCATGCACCGCGTCGGCCACGACACACTCGCGACATCCCATGCGAATCTCGTTCTTGGCCCTGGCCTGTTCCATTACCAGCTTGCTCTCGTACACGGGATACTCGACACTCATTTCGGCGAGCCCAGCCCTGACTCCGGTGGAGAACGGACAGAGCAGCTGCTAATCGCCGGGAGCATCCGTTGCGACAGCCTATCGGCAGGGTGCGGATGCATCCGGTGATCCGTGATGCGCGCCCGTGGAGACGCGCCTCGGTGGGCGGCAAGGACGCGTGGCGCGCATCGACGCGTGGCTGTGATGCACGCCACGCATCACTCCCGCCGTCCTTGCTCTCCTCCACCTCCAGCCACCTCCCCTGCCTCCTCTTTCTCCTCCTGCTCTGCCCCCACCACCGCCCAGGCAGACGATAGCGACTATACAGTTGTCCTTCGTCTGCTATTGGACTCCGGTGTCACTTGGTGACACCGTTCAACTACCCGACCTCGACCTCGACCTCAATCTCACCCATCGGCCCGGCTGCGCTCACAACATCCGCACTGCATGAGGACGTCCATCCGGACGTCCTCAGGATGGATACCAGAATCTGGGGGCCGCGGCGATGTACCGCCGCCCTTGTTTTGGTGAGTCCCCTGCTCCGACCTTCTGCACTCCCAACGCCCACCTCTCCTCTCCTGCTTCGCCCATCCGGCCTGCCGCCGACCTCGACCTCCACGTCCACCTCGTCCACCTCACCACTGCGCCCCCCTCCGCGCTACTCTCTGCCCGCCTTCGCGCTGCCCGCCTGCGCCTCGCCCGCCTGCGCCTGCACACCTGTCTGTGCCCGCACACCCTCCTCTGTCTCCCTCACCTCCATGTCGCCCTCCGCGCGCGTCACCCACCTACGCGTCACCCTGCTCCACATCACCCGCCCCTGCGTCCGTGCCACCCTCCCCGTCGCTCGCATCTACGCGCGTCGCTCTTCCCCTCCTCCGCCTTGTCCCCTTCCACGCAGCGTCCACACGCATCGCCTGCCTCTGCGCGCGTCGCCCTCCGCGTAGCTCGTCTCCTCCGTCTCGCCCGCCTCCACGTCATCCACTTCCGCGCGCGTCGCCCACCTCCGCGCTGCCCACCGCATCGGCCCCTCGCTCCCCTCCTCCTCGCCCTTCTCCGCGTTACCCGCTTCCGCGTCGCCCGTCTCCTCCGCGTACGCCGCACGCCTCCTCCGCCTGCGCGGCCCTTCTCCGCCGCGTCGCGCACCTCCACCCGCGTCCGGCCCTCCACGTTGCCCTCCTCGTCCTCCACGTTGTCCCGGCCCTCTGCGTCACCGTCCGCCTCCGTGTTACCCGCCTCCGCCTCCGCCGCGTCACGGCCCTCTCGCGCGTCGTACATCTCCACCCGCGTCCGGCCCGCCGCTTCGCCCCCCTCCTCCGCCTCGTCCAGGCCCGCGCGCCCGTCTCTGCACTACCCTCCTCCGCCTGCCCGACCTTCTCCGCCCACACGCCCGCCTTTGTGCGGCCCGCCCCCGTCGCCCACCTCTGCGTGCGTCGCCCGCCTCCCCGCTGCCCTCCTCCATCTGCCTCCTCCACCCTCGCCGCCCGCCTCCGCGCTGCCCGTCTTCTCCGTGTCGCCCTCCTCCTCCGCATTGTCCTCCCCTGCGCCCACATCACCCTCCAGCCCTCCGCATCGCCCTCGTCTCACCTGCCTCCGCCTTGTCTTGTAGTAGCATACAATCAATATATTTTCATCTCTAATAATACACTAGTAAAGCATGATGGGAAACCATTAAGAGGTGGGGGACGTCGCGCGGCGCGCCCGTGCATCGTGATGGCGCCCGCCTGGGGAAGCTGTGCGACAGCGGATAGCAACCGATGCTGCGGGGGCGACGGATGCATTCGCACCCCGCTGATAAGCTGTCAGAACAGATGCTCCCATCGATTAGCTACTGTAGACGGACACTCAATCCGGCGAGTATCTCATTCTTCAACAGTGTACTTGGGCGCAAACCCATCTTCCTGTCCTCCCTGCCTCCCTATCGCACTTGTCGTGACCTCATTTTCACATCTCTCACTGCTGCTGTCATGTCCTGCCTCAAAATAGTCATGAACGTCGACGACCTTGAAGAGCTTGCGTCAGAACTCACGTTCGAAGAGCTTGAAGCCCATGCATTGGAGATCCACAGACGCTTCAACATTGGTGCCGTGAACGTCCTGCGCGAGGAGCGCAACACGGAGGTAGAAGATCGCCTCGACGAACGCAAGCGCAAACTCGAAGTCACAGGCAAGAGCGTCAAGGACGAAGAACCCCCATTCAATCCCCTCATCAATGTCAACACAGGAGACATGGTATATGAGAACGCTATCCTATTCCTCCGTGACGCCCTCCTTCTACGCGGGTTCGATGACGCTATCAGGGCCGGATGTTCAGGCCGAATTCTTCGCACTCTCAAAGTTCTCGCATTCGCCTATCGGGGGCTTGGTCGTACGAAGTACGCTCATGAGGTACTGCATTTGGTGCACGGACTTACCACAGTCTGGCCGGAACCCTTACGGTGAGTCACTCGGCTTCATCTGACCTTCTGTTCCTCGCTCACTCGTTACTTCGCAGCGCGATCGTGCTCAAGAACTGGCTCGTGAACCCGACCGGAATGGAGAACGCGTGGGTACCAGTTGATCTGTTGCAGGAGCATATGAACCTGATGATCAAGGTAAGTTTCTATACGCTCTTCTGTTCCGCTACCCACAATCGATCGGGGCAGAGTATCTACAAAGCCCGTGGCAGCAACATGTCTTGGTCATGGTTCGAGATGATCTCGCCATCCGTCATCACCCTCCGCCATCTTACGACGAAAATGAACGCCTTCCTTGGAGACAAGACTGGTAACAAACACGCCTCCCCTAAGGTCTTCCTCGACATCGCCTCGTTGCAGGAGTCTATGGAGACGCACCGGATTTTCGTCATTGAGAAGGGACGGGTGCTTACTGGGATGAAGAAGCCCGTGGTACCCAACGCTGTTGATGTTGGATTCGAAGCAACGCCGGGCCCTCTCGAGGATTACAACCAGACGTTCAAACGGCTCCAGGTGCGCCTCCGGCGAATCCCACTTCTCGACCTCCTTGCTCGCTGCACTACCACCCTGTTTGCGTCTGCCTCGGAGGCCGTAGGCGCATCAGTAATTTCCACGATCTCTGAATCTATCTGATCTCTGACACCTCTTACATGAGAATTTTCAGATATGTGAGAGGTGAGCAGACGTTTCGGACATATATCAGAGAATCCAGAAGAGTTCGAAGGCTTGAGCATGCACCAAATCTATATTGAATGGTACTACATTGTACAAGTACAACAAATCACGGCTTCAGACAACGAAACGAGGAAGCAGCTGCCGCTCCAGTCTCCGCACCCTCTGCATCTAAACTACCTTGTTCCAGTTTGCGGAGAGGATACTAATCGCAATAGTCGCGTCGCACGCAACGGGATTCCTCGCGAACGAGCGCGCTGTTGACACTGTGGATCGGCTGCAAGGGCGCGCCACGCAACAACACTGCCCTGGTGCGTGGGTGCATCAGCGTAGCGGGGAGGGAAGGGAAACGCGGGAAGACGGAGAACGGGGAGGGAAGAAAGACACACTTGCGGAAAACCTACTCGTAGAAAACCTGCGACACGGGCGCGTGCACGTAGAGTCGAAGTAGACGGCATCGAATAACGGGAGTGTAACTAGCTCGTCGTGATCGGGAATCTCGTGACAGCTGGCTGTTAGGTGCGGCGAGGATCTCGGCATGGAGGCAGTCTTGCATCTCAGGGCGATCACCGAGCTCCTGGGGCGTTGGGGAGAGCATGTTCGAGCTGGTATCCACAGCGGTGAAGGCGAAGATATTTATCCTAGGACTCAGGGAGGTCAGCAACCAGCAACGTCGCAAATGCAAAGGACACAGCGTAGACAACGTACCAGCGAGAACAGGCGGTGGGCGAACTTGATCTGCTCAATCTGAATTGATGTACCTGGCCGAGGGTGCGGGTGGAGGGTCTGGGTCAGCACGTAGTCAGATGGCGCAACGTAGAATCACATCGTACAGCGGCAAAGGAGAAGCGGGAGGGCGTATGGTGCGGAAGAGGGGGGAAAATGTTGAGATAGAACAAGCGCACTCACGGATATCGTGTCCATAGTGTGGCGGCACTCGGCCCCGACCGTCCAAGTGGTCGTCGTCGGAGAGCGCAGGGGTAGGAGTCGCAGTGGAATGGCTCCTTCGCCTGCTTTAGCTCGCAGATGCGGATCAGCAACAGGGAGATCGTGCTTGGGGTTACGCTAGGGAGGTGAGCCAGGCCGCGAGACGGGTGAGATGGCAATGTGGGCGAGGGCTAGGGGGGCGACATCGCGTGGGGTAGACAAGCATGAGGGTGTGTGTAAGCACAGGCTGGAGATGGTAGCAAGGAGGATGGAAGGCATAGTGTGGAGGATGGCAGCGCCCGCTAGCCGAGGCTAGCCGGTGTCCAGGCGCCGGAGGGCCGCGTATCAGTAGATAACAGCTATCAGTATCCCTATCTCTTGATCTAGTCTAATCTAGTCACGTGCACCAATGTCAGAAAAATCGCCGGTGGATGGCCGGCCAGCCGATCGTCCAGGGTCAACCACGATCGAAAATCGGCTATCATTTGCCCTTCGTCCCGGGGCGAAAACTGGCCACAGCGCTAACAGTAAAGTGTCCAGACATGTTTATGCAGGTGAAAACGTCCCTTGGATAGCGCGGATATGGATGCTGACTAGATCATGATGGCAGGAGGTACATCAAAATGTTGAACTCTAAAACTGCCTCCGGACGCGTGGGCGAGCTTCTATCAGCACGCAGTGTCCGGTGCGCCCCGCACCATGCCAACTCCCACCGCACTCCCACTGGCCACTGCCCCTCTCCCCTTGGCCAGCTCCTCGTCCATGGCCCTCAGCTCGACCCGCACCTTTGAAAGCTCATCCTCGGTCCGCGCGCGCACATCTGGCTGTGCATAGAGCTGGATGAAGTGCCGCAGTGCGTTCTCCCAGTCGATTCTTTTGCGTAAGTCCTTGAGAACCCGCACTACCTTGATGTCGCCCGTGTCCACGAACTGACGATACCATCGGACCTGGCCCTTGACAGTGTCAAATTTCATGCTGCCGATCCGCGGGATTTCGGCCACACCCAAGGGTTCGACTGCGAGGAGGGCGCGCAGCTTGTTCACCTTCGTTTCAAGTGAGGTCAGGCGCGCTTCTCGAGCCTGCTGTGCGACCCGCGCGCTCCACTCTGCGAGGAACTTGCGCCGCGCCTTCCCCGTTCCCTGCTCGTTGCGGTCGCGAGCCGTTCTCCGAATGTAGGCCTTGGTCGAGCTGGTGAGTCCTTCCGTATACTCGATGAGGTTAGGCTGACGAAGTGCTGATAGTGCATTGATAGTTTCGAGAGTGATGTTCGGAGAAGCACGGAGATACACTTTCGCGAAGCCGAGGGCACCTTCGTTCAGGTCATTGGTTGCTGGTGCGTAGAACATCTCCTTTTCCTCCGCTGACAGGCCGTTGATCTCTCCACCAGCTGCATACTCGCTGGAGAAGCGCTCCCAGGTCACTCGAGCACCCCTCAGGAACGCGACAAGAGCTTCCTTGATGTGCGGCAAATGGGGGGATAACTCCTGTACAGCTTCGAATCCTCTCGGTGAGTCCCAGAGCCTGCCGCCTAATGCGCCCCTCACGTGTGATGCATCAACTGCCAGGAGTCGGTCCGGCTGCTCGATCACCACATCGATGTGTGCCTTGACTGCGTCGTGAAGGGGTCCGAGCTCAAGATGGTTTGGATCGTCGGCACCCCGGACAATCGCCATGTATGGGTGGCTGACAGCTTGGGAATAGAGGGAGAGGACACACAACTCGGTGAGTGTCGGAGCGTCATGAAGCGCCTTCCAAACGTTTGCCTCGAGGTTTGTCCATTCACCGCTCTGTTTCTGATCACGGATTTGCTCCAGAAATACGAGGATGTGCTCTAGATGCTCCACGAGGACAGTGGCGGCGTCGCCATGAGAACCGAAGCGTGTGTTGCTGGTATCCGGAAAGGTAAAGAGCTTTCCAGTCGCCTTCTCCATCGAGTAGCGGAAGCTGTCTTGTTGACCCTTTGTGTCTTCCCGGTGATTGAATAGAAGCCCCGTCAGCTCCGTCACCTTGGTTCCCCCACCTTGTGAGTTCTCGAAGGCCTGATGAATAGCTGCTTCTGAACCTGTCTGGGCAGCCGCAGTGTTATCTCTGTTCAAGAGTCGAACAGGAGGGTCGAGGCCGGCCGCTGTCCAGAATGCGACCATCGCCGTGTTGCCGCCCTGTGTCGCGTTCAGGTCCTTGTGCATACAACATCCGGCATGTATGAACAACGTCACGACTCGCTGCTCGGACAGAGGCAGGGCTTCAAACGCATCCTCCCCGAGCTTCTGGATGACGCGCTGTCGTGCTTTGAGGGCCTTCTGCTCCACGGTAAGGTTACTTTCTGTCGAGTTGCCTTCCGAAGCTGAACACTCCTCGATCAGAAGGGCCAGAAACTGCTCCACAGACATACTCCGGGCGGCCTCTTCACCACGGAGCTCGATGTTGCATAGCCTCTTCAGTACGTGCATCAATTTTGCGAGCTTCTTTTGGTCTTTGGCATGGTCACTGAGGAAAGTACACAGCCTTGCCCAGAAGCCACGCACATCGGCTCTCTTGCTATGCGCCAACGGGCTGTTGTTGAATGTGTCAAACATCAAGGTAAGACGTTTCTCCCAGTTCTGGAGCTGTGTCTCACTGGTGTGGTCCGTAGATTGCATGACACCGAGGTTGTACCGAGTGTGGGTACTCTTGTTGTTGATACAGAGGTGCTGGGCATCATACTGATTCTTCCGGTGCTGTGTGCCATCACTGCTAATACTGTATCCTGCCGAGACGGTGAGAAGCTACTCATTATGGTGAGTTTCCACTGAACTTACCTTCCGCGCTTTCAATAGCTTCAACCAGCATCAGATCAAGAGCAACTGCGCCCTCGCCCACGATCCGACTCACAGACTTCTCGCCGATCTTGCCCTCCACTCTACCCCCGATGCTCTTGATTACAGCCTCGACTACCGCACCAATGTTCGTGAAGGGGACACGAATCTTCGCCAACTGCCACACAAGAATGCGCATGTTGTCGGGGATGCAGCCACCCTCCTTCCAGCGAAGGACGACTGTGGGTTGTTGCAGATCCTGTGCTGACACTTCAACAGCCGTCTCTACAGCTTTTGCCACAGTGCGCGATGCCTGGTCCACCGCACGCGATGCGCGCTTTTGCAATGCAGCAGCCCTTTTCTCCAGCATGTCCACCCGCAGTCGTAGCACACTCGAGGCTTTGACGAGTTCCTCTCGCTGCGCGCAGTACGTTTTGAGCTCTTCATGTGTGGTGGATGCGCGTCGTTCAGCTTCGCTGATTGCTGATTCAGCATCGGCCTGGATCTGGCTGATAACGGCTGCAAGTTGTGCCTGTTCACCTTCAACGGCTTCGCGGGCCTGCCGCTGTAGCTCCACTTGCGACTTGAGAAGGAAGTTGACAACCTCCACGGTGCGTTGCTGAAGGCGCTTGAACTCCATCTCGGTCCGCGCATTATGCGCGCGGAGAGACCGCACTGTCTCTTCCAGAGCGGACTTTTCTCCGGACATGGTGCGTGCTTCCGCCTGCGTCTCAGATAACTCGTCACTGACGTTCATGAAGCAGGCCTTCCAGTCGCGTGCCTCCGTTCTTGCATGATCCAGCTCCAACTGCAGCCGTATCCGCTCAGAGATGGCCTCCGCAAGTGTATCTTCGGCTGTTCGTGCCCGCCTCTCGGCCTCTCCACGGGCGTCTTGATCGCGAAGGGCGGATTCGTGTGCGTCGCGCTCATGCTGAGCTTGCTCCGAGGCGGTTCTGATGAGACTTTGCAGGATCCTCTCGGTTTCTGTGCATCGGGCCACCCAGGATTGTTCGAGGTCTTGCATTGAGGCTGTTCGCATGGCTGCCTCGCGCCGAAACGTATTTGCCTTCGCGGCTTCGCGCCTTCCGAGTTCGTCAAGCTTCTCCGCGCATGACTTCCATTCAAGCATGTGCACCTCGGCTGTGTCCAGTCGTTGACGAAGAATGGCTGCCTCATTCGCCCTCGTGTTCGCTTCCTCCGTTGCCACGTTCAGCATCTCCGAGAGTTCCCCGACCTCGTGCTCGAACATCTCAATGTCGATGCCCCGTTGTCGCTCTGCTGCTGCAGTAACCTTACATGCAGATAGTGTGAGTTCCACACATTTGTGCGCGGTTGATAAAGAAGCTGACCTGGTCTACCATCTGTGCAGATGTACTCGCTGCCCAGCTCTCAGCTGCCACTGCCCACCTCCTGTTCTCTTCACCCACCGTCCTTGCAATGCCAAGATCCATTGCAAGATGGGTAATTTCTGTCCGCAGCTACATCTTGGTAAGCAAGACGGCTCAGATTCTCGGTCTGAATACAACAGCTCATACCTCTTTGCAGTCAGCCTTCGCTTTCTCCTTCGCTTTCTTGTGATATTGAACTTGCTGTTTGACCGACCTTATGTCTTTCTTGTAGTCTCTTGTGGTTCGACCTCGCTTCTTCGGTGCGGCAACCGGAGCAGGCCGCGGGTTGATATCACCATCCGGCTTAACGGGGTAGTGGTCGGATGGTAGTAGTGGTTGGGCCTGGCCATTTCTGTGCTGATGGGCCTTTGCTAGCTCTTGCAAGCGTCTGAATTGTGCCTTCTGCGCAGCTGTTCTGGTTTTGCCCATTAGAATAGACTCTGTTTGTGCATTCTGTTCACTTTGTGCTTGCTCGATATTCGGGCGTCTCGAGGCTTATATAAGCGCGCAATAAGCGCGAGACTGTCTAATGTCTTCGCTCACTGTGCACTCTACAGCACAGATATGGATGGCTGTCCCACACAAAACTCGAAGAGATCATGTAGGAGAAGAAATTCTTCGGAGCAGAATTGCTTTCTGTAGTGGATCTATGTCTTGCAGTGCTTGAACACAAAATCGGGCTCGGACAAATTTTAGGAAATGAAGTATATATGCCATCTACATTGTCCCCGGGACATTCCCCGGGGCGGACCCTTGTATCTTGCATTCTTTGGAGCAGACACCCTGTGCGCGCTACTGGGCCGGCAGGTTGCTGCCACCTTCTGTATATGGAAAGGGCGGTCGAGACCGCTCTTCTGCGGCTGTGCTCCCAGAGGTCGGCACGAGGACTCGGGCCGAGGTGAGTCCCGGATGGCCCGCTCTTATCAACAATCTCAAAGCTATCTCATCACAAGATTACTGTCGGTTACACAAACGCCCGTTTTTAACGCCGGACACCGCGTAGCTCGCTAAGGCGGGCGCTGCCATCCTCCATCATAGTGCGTAGGGGAGAACGACGAGGAGGACCAAGTGCGACGCGTGGTGCATAGGTGCTGGCAGCGCCTATCGTGGGAATATCAAACTCTGCTCGGCACTCAGGCGGACTCTGCCAGCGCTGCACGCTCTCGTCTTCCACCCTGCCGTCGCCGTCGCTCTTGCCGTCACCCTTGCTCTCGCCCTCGCTGTTGCCTTCGCCATTGCCATCGTCATCGCCGTCGCCTTGGCTACGCTCCATGCGAAGAGTCGGAGCATTCCCGGCGGTTTGCTCGCCATTTCGAACGGTGCGTAGAAGTTGTCATCTGATTTGATCATACTGGGTGCTGAGGGGCACACAAAGTCCCCTGCATCGATTCCGTGCCGCTCCCACTCAGCCCGCCCGTCCAGACCCACAGCTCACAGTGCTCAAGCCCGGAGGACCGAAGGTGATTAAGAACGTCAAACCTTCGCACTGCGCCTGCCAACTATTGGTAAGTCCGTCCTCTTGTACCGCTTCTCCGCTCCCGATTTCCGCGTTCCATGTCCTACCAATCCCCCCAACGGTACGCTCGCTGTCTCGCCTCGTCGCTCCTCGACTGCGGCCCCTCCCTGCGCGACGCCCTGCCACACGCGCACGTGCCACGCCCGCGATAATGCAGGTGAGCTTTTCCTCGTTACTCTTCGCGTTGGGTTCTCAATAGACCATCCCCCTCCGCCTTTGCGACTGCCGCAATTACCGCAAATATCACTCTCAATCTTGTTCCGCGAACGTGCCCCGGTCGTGACAACCTCTCGCGCGCGCGCCTCACCGCATGGCAGCCAGGGTGAGTACCTCATCACTCGTGTTCACGCTAGGTTCTGAACAGACCGTCCCTACCTTCACGCCGCCACGACCACCCGCGCTCGTGATGACTCGTCCCACGTCTGACCCTCTACTGCGCTCACGCCCCGGACCGTCGACGTCTACTCTCCCAGCGACCGTCACCCCTTTTCGATCTTGTTGCCCCGCTCACAATGCCACTCCTCGACTGCGGCTCCTCCCCTGTGCGTTCGCCCAAGCAGCGCCACCTGCGTTCCGTCTCACCTCGGTTTGTAGATACTCTACTCCAGCCACAAGGGTCCTGTTGCGCCCGTCGTGCCCCCCAGTGGTGTCGTACGATGCCAGGGCCTCAGGTGCGGTCCCGCACGCAATGGAGGTGGATCGTGTGGGTGATCGTCGAAGCGGTGCCAGATGACATCGGAGGCCGTGGCGACACTGACAGTCGCCCTGTCGAGACTGAGTAGGGCATGGACATGCGGCGCTGTATGATGCATTGATGGGAGATGCGCACGAGGGTGGGGGCTGCTCTAATCACCATGGCCATGTGCACGGTTATGTTGCGCGCCGCCACGCCGTGTGCGTGCGCATTTTTGATCCCTCTCATGGGCACCGTAGTACTACTCTAATACATGATTAATTTGATTTCATTCACAAAGTAACACTTGTGTGCCTTGGACTGCGTGATAGCAACTGCGACAGTGCAAGCAAATCCTGTATCTCTGTTTTTTCTGGCCCATCTGAATTCTCTCGCACGATGTCTCACTAAAAAGCGAAATGAGAGAAATTCTGAATCTCTCAAAACGTCTCACAGCATCTCACAGCGTCTCAAACCTCTCCACAGACGTTTTGAGACATTTCGGAAATTACTGATAGGCTAGTGGAGGTGCGTATTCCCGCCCTCATCCTCGTGCGCCACACATGCTTACAAGCCCACAATGCAGCCTTCGCAAGCAGTCAATGACGGCCCGGAGGACATTGAAGACGACCCATTGGAAGGACGTGAAGGCGAGGGTCTCGGTGAGCTCGATAGCGCAGCCGCATTTGCACAGGAAGAAGTCCCAGATTCATTTGAGGACACTCTCGACTACGACTGGTAGCTAGTTATATACGATATGCCCTTTTCGTCCGTCTGCGAGTACTCGGTGTGACGCCTTCGCGGGCGTCGAGGGGCGACGCGGGCGATGTGGCCGCGCGCGCGTGGCGCGCATGCGTGAGCGGAGGACCGGTCGCGCGCGAGGCTGGTCGCGCGCGAGAGACCGGTCGCGCGCCCTCCGTGACGCCTCTCGAGGCGGCCGTCGTCACGACCCGTTATGCCTGGGGAGCGGCATGCCCCAACGAGCCCGTTTGGGCGGGGGAGTGGAGCGAGGGAGGGCACTCACGTCACGTGCTCTCCTTTTATGGTGCACCTGCCAAAACCCCCACCAGTTGGACCAGCCGTTTGAGGAGGTACGACGAAAACGGATGGATGATCGAGCCTACCCGCGCTCGATCCCGCTTTCGCGCCCACCGCGCCCTTGCCATATGTGCCTTCGCGCTCTCCATGCCTGCGCCGCCGCTCGCGTCCTGCCGCCGGTCCTCTGCCCGCCCTCTGCGCCGCCCCACGCCCGGGCCCAGGGGTGTACAGCCCGACTCGTTCCTTGGTGCTCTGTGAACCACATCCCATCTCTGTCGATCTAGTCCGCTCTCTCGCCCCCATCCGTTTCCAACCTCTCCGAGGTGAGCACGGCACCCACACCCGGAATCTCTGTTCACGTCTCCCACACACGCCAATCAGCCGTCCGTGATGCCAACCCACTGGCCTCCGACACGAGCTCTACCTGGTCTCCGACAGCCACCAACAGGCTACCGAGCATTCGACACACCGTACGCGCACGTATCTTGTCTCGAACAAAGACCAGTTGCTCTACTAGCAGGTCGCGCGCCCGCGCCCGCGCGTTGTCCGCCAGCGGTCCCCATTTGCCACGTCATCGCGCGAGCCTGAATCAGTGCGCTTTCCACCCGCAATCCGCGCTGCCCCACATACCAGCTCTCAAACATCGCGCGACGAGCCGTGCACGATCCCGGCCAGCACCCTCCATTCGTCCTCCTCCACACTCCGGGAGACGCCCTTGTCAACGGTAATCCGTCCGTCGGAAGTGTGCAGAGGAGCGCACGAGCGCATTGGCGACGGGCAGAACCAGGCGATGACTCCCCGCGGTACCGGATCGGAGCCCGAGTGGCACGTCTTCCGTGACGTCTACTCTTCACGCAAAGGTAAGTACAGCTTCATTGTCTCCTTCGATGTTTGAATTCATCTCAACCTGCGTTCTCATTCATTCACGTATCAGACCAAGAGCGCATGGAGGCCGGCTGGATGCAGGCCCGGCCGGTTACTTCCTGCGGGAATGCAAGCGTGCAATCCGTCCTCTCGTCCTCTCACGGACTGCAACGCTCGCCCGCTCGCCCGCCATCGCGCCCGCGCGCGCACGTCGCAATCGAACGCCGTTCTCGACAGGGCGCATACAGCCGGCAACTTGTGACGCTGTCCATCATCTTGCCCTCAAGCGGCCGTCCTCTGTCTGCAAACGCGCTGCGCGCACGCCGTCCTCTGTCCACTCACCTCGCCTTCGACACGGGATTCTCGCCCTCTTCTTCAAGTCTGCTTGCCCGTCTCCTGCCCGCGCTCTCCTCAACGAAACCTATCTCATCCCTTCCCGCGGTCCCCCGCCCGTTTCTGCGAATTCAGTCCGCGCTCTTACCCTCCCGGACCATCTCCAACCGTTTCGAGGTGAGCGCCGCACCCGGGATTAGAAATCTTTGTTGACCCTGCCCTGCTACAGCTCCCACACACGCCTGCGGCGCTCGCCCGCCCCGGTCTCCAACACGGTACCAAGCATTGAACGGACCGTGTGCGCAAGTGTCTCGTCTGGAAGAAAGACCAGTTGCTCTGCTGGTCCAGCGCCGTCACGTCATCGCCTCGGTACGCATCCATTTCTGGATCTGTGCGAACCTACATCCAGACCACGTACCAGCTCTCGAACCTCGCGTCGACGAGCAGTGCACCATCCCAGCCAGCACGTTCCATTCATCCTCCAACACTCTCTGGGAGACGACCAACGTCCCGATGCGCCGACCCTGCCTCCAGAGCTACCAGAGCCCGGCATCGACACGGCTTCCCTGATGCCTCGTGGTCAGTACGACCCCGGTCGTCTCCTTCACGGGCTTCGCGTACTCAAACACATGCACGTTTCTTCGGCGCACTTCTTGCCATCAACGTTAACGGCACCACCGGACTCTTCTTCACGCCTGCCCAATGCGGCCAGTGGCAGATCGTCCAAGGCGTCCTCCTCCAGCTGATCGTCACCACCGTCGATTTCATTCTTATCACACGCAATGTGTCCCACCCCTCACCCCCGACATCGAGAGCACTGAATCTGCCCTTCCGCTCCCTTGTCACTCTTTGACAGGCCCACACTGTGTCTCTCGGCGCGCTCTTCTTGGCCGAGCTCGTATCGCTCTGCTACATCCTCGCAGTAGTGACCCCACGGCTAACATACAACGACGCATGCTATGTCACCTCCAGCCCGCCCATCTTCCAGTACTTTTGGTACGCTCCGTCGTTCGCCGTTCGTCCCAGCCTCGCTCTGATGCCTGCCGCAGGGTCATCTCGCTCGCGTTCGAGACCGTCCTCTTCGTGCTCACCATCGGAACGTTCATCGACGCCGTCCGCCAAGGCTGGGGCAAAGGCCCCGCCATGCAGCAGTTCGTCGCCGACGGGACGTGGGCGTACACCCTCAACTTCATCGTCATGCTCATCAACATGATGCTCTACAAGATCGCCCGCTCCACACTCACGGGCATATGCTACACGTGCGCTCCCTCCTCTCTGACGCGCGACCACCGTCGATCTCACCCCGCGTCCCCAGATGTCGTCCTCTCCTTCGCTGTGAGCCCTTCTCCTTCCCCTAGGTCGTCGCAGCGCAACAAGCTGACCGCTCCCGCGCCCTCCAGGGATCGCGCCTCCTCCTCAACCCCCGCCGCGCGTCGACGATCCACTCTCCTCCGGCGACATCACCCGCAGCCACCTCGACATCGGCCCTCGCGCCTCTCGCGCCTGTCCGCGCCGCCCCGGCCGCGCCGCGCGCACGGCATCGCGGTCACGATCGAGCGCACGACGACGACGACGACGACGTACAATTTGGAGGCGCACATCAGCCTCGACTGCGTTCCAGGTGAGCGTTCGTCGCGCGCGCGCGAGTGTGTGTGCAAGAGAGAGGAAGGGGACGCTGACGCGGACGCTTTGCAGACTCTCCGTGGAGCGCGACGAAGGGCGGGGAGAGCGACGCTGGTGCGTCTCCGAGCTCGTTTGGTGGCACGAGCGCGAGCGGATGGGGTTTGGGGTGTAGGAAGTTGAGGGCTTTGTATTAGGAAGGGCTTGTACTACATAGATGTTTGAATTGGGTTTCCCCGGTCGGTGGTGCGCGTCAAAATGGCACGTCCGCGCGTCTGGAGGTCGCAGACAGAGAGGGAGTCTTGAGGCGGCGTACGCCTTTGGCGTGTTGCTTGGAGACTGGAAAGGCAGAGGTCGATCAGCCGACACGCCAGACCGCGCACATACGAAGTCGGAGCACTTACGAGTCTGAGATCTTCACCTTCCTGCTCATTCCTGCCGCGAGGAAGTAGCAAAGATGTACTTTGACTGAAAGAGAAAAACACCCAAAGTCCGGCTTTTCGAGGTCTCGGAATTGGGACGCTCGCGGAGCCGGTCAGCCGACGCCCGGACTCGCGGATGAGAAGAAAAGCGCACGAGCTTCCTGTGGCCGACCGCGGCTCGGGTGGCGCCAGAACTTGCGTTGTCTTGACGCGGCGAAGGGCGGAAGACTCGATCGGTTTGACGAGTCGGTTGACTCGGGGTCGTTCGTCGGGTCGAGACTCGAGCGTGCACCTGCAATCCCCGCCCTCGCATCTCGTCAACGCGAAGACGCGGACGGCGGTGTCGCCCGCCCTGCATCCTTCTTCTGCGCCTTGGTCGCCGGTGGCTTGGTCTATGAGGTGGATCGACTGGGATTTCGAAGCTCTCGCGCGGGAGAGCGTGAGTGCTGGATGCGCCCGAAGGATCGGCGGTGGCGGATGTCTGGGCAGCGGTGGACGAGGGAATGCTTGGACGGACGGGACGCGGTGGCCGTCGCTTCGAATCACGTCGCATCCACGCGTGCCTCGTGAAAGACCGCAGCCTGGCGCTTGTGGTACCCGCCTTTAAGCACGGTACGCAGCCCACGGGGTAACACGGCCGCGTCGGGGAGTTTGACGTCCGGGTCGACTAGGGCGGCTGGCAAGGTGATCGAGGCACGGAGGAGACGTGCGCGAAAGTCATGCACGAACTGGCTCACGTTCCGTCGAGAGGAGGAAGAGAGGGCGCGTTCCACCAGTGAGCGCGACCGACGCGCGCACATCGAGTCGGGTGTGTACGGAGAGGGGCGGGTGTCTTCATCGAGCTGGAGACCCGAATAAGGTGTTGGGATGACTGGCATGGTGGGCGGGGTGCGGGCGAGGTAGTTACGAGTGGCAGACTGGATCCCGGATGAAAGTGCTTTGACGTATCGGAGTGGGTCGCGGAGAGAATGGGCTACCGAGGGGAAGAAAACACGACGCTTGATTACTTGCGTGACCTTGCAGGCGGAGTAGTATGCGTACGAATCATGGTCGATCTTTTGTCGGATCAGCGTTGTTTCGCGGGCGCAGATGGGTACTGTGCGCCACGCTGCTCGACTGCCGTATGCGGACGAACGGAGTTCCCCTGCGAAACATTGTTAGCAAGTGTCGGCATGTGTTCAGAAGCAGAGGGAGGACGCACTTTTCCGTAGCCTGCCTGGATGAGACGACGGCGTACAGGGGCATGCTACACGTAGATCTGGCGATTGGATCCGTGGTATGCGTAGGCCCTAGGATTGCGATCCGCGAGCTTCTTTTTCTATCTGAACGCCGGAACCAGGATGAACATCCCGCGCAGACGGACGAGGTAGTACTGCGTACCAGGAAGAGTCACGCAATGCCGTTCCAGATTCGTCGGATTGCGCTCGAAAGCAGGCATGTTCAAGGCGGCGAACATCGTTTGAGGCCCCGAACGCGATCTTCGTCACCCGATGAGCAGAGATCACCAGCGAGCCTGCTAGGGAGATCCGTGCTACCATCAGTCTGGGAGCTGCGTCAGAGGTCAGAGGACGATGGATGGAGTGGTTTACATGCAACCAAGAGCCTTCTGCTCTAGACACCACGCTTGGGGGCGGCACCCACGCTCATCCATACGGATCTGCGCTGAGAGTGAAACGAGCTGGGATGCTCCGACTGAGGACTCGTAAAAACAGGGGCGCGCGCACCAGCGGCATCTGCGCACCCGCGAAGAATTCGCTCGATAGTAGCGAGTTCTTCCAGAACGACAGAACGACAGAATTCCCGCGCGGGGTGAGCCAGCGAAGATCGCAAGAAGCCTCAAGAAGCAAGTAGAAAGGGTACGGAATGATGAACGAGGATATGTTCATCGGGAAACGCGTGTATTGCGAGAAAATGGGTGCTACATGTGTAACACATACCGGCAGCGCGTGTCCTCCCACTGCACCAAACTCCTGCTCCACGTTTCCCATCGGAAGACTTCCTTTTGAGCCATCTAGGCCATGGAAGAGAGCGGTAGGCGGGGAACAAAACACCGTGGCGGGCGGGTGGAGGAGCGGCGACCTGAAGGCCTGATGAGGGGTTCCGGGGCGGAGTGAGGGCCGGAATCGGCTGACGACGAAGAGGGGATGTTGACTACGGCATTGAAGAGATGAGCCTAGGAGAGAGCTGAAGAACATGAAGGATGTCGAGAGGCGGTGGCGGTGGTGGTGGTGGTGGTGGGAGAACAAGACGCACCGGGGTCGTGCGTCTCAGCGTCGCTGATGGCTGTGCGAAGTTTTTGACGCAAACCCTCGCGCTCGTGCAGCTAACGATCCCCCTATGTCCGTACACGACTTTGACAGCAAGAACTGGGTGTGCACGCGCTGTCGCCGTACGGCGCAGACGCACGAACACAACACCTTCGACCAGGCTTTGAACGCTCGCGCGATCATCTCCATGTTCGTCCTCGTCTCCGTGCTTCTCGTCTGTTCCGCCTCGCGCACCCTTCGATATCCGCCAGCGGATACCACGGATAAACGCGTCAGCACAGCGAGTGGAACCGTCAGGGCGCGACGCATGTGAACCAACCACAACGCCTTCTGTGTGCTCTCGCGGTCGGCGCCGCCACTGGCGCTTGCGTGCACGACATACGGCCCGCGATACCCGGACCGTCCCTGGCGACGATTTTCATCTCGCACTGGCTGTCCTTCTCCTCCACGATGTCATCCAGACTGCCACCCTAGCTGTGCGATCTCATCTCATCATCAACGCTGTTCCGCTTCACCCAACCATGCTCTAGTGACTAGTCTGCCGGCAATGGCGATCCGGACCTCAATCCCCTCCTCAGTGCCTTCCATAATTTCCCCCAAACTCTTGGTCACCACCCTCCTAAACGGATACCCCTCTCTTGACACACTCCGTCTCAGCGCCGTGGCGGTGGCCTCGTTACGGCGGTACTTGACGATCCCCCCGGCGGCGGTCTCCGTCATTTCGTCGCCGAATTCGATCACAGCGCGTATGCGGAAGGCAGCAGAGATACATACTTCGTATGCATCGACCTTGGCGACTTGCTTGACCTGCTCGTTGGCCACGGCGCCGTCTCGCGGGACGTCTTGGTGACGTTGGACATGCACATTCACATGTACCCCGGTGTTCGTCGACCGTAGAATGACAATCCACGCCCAACCTCGAGCACCTCTCCATCCTCAGTCATCCCCCCCAAGACCAGCCCACTCTCGGCGATACCGCACGTATGCACGCCATCGTTTCCGGACCCCTTGTTTCGTTATTGACGCGCTCTACTCCCAGATCAAAACACTCGTCGTTCCTTGGGCGCGCTCATCGGGTGTTCGCGCTTACGCACCCTCACCATCATCTACGGCGAGCCCGAGTCCCGTCCCATACGTTCCTGGTGTCGCAGGACCCTCACCAACGCGCTCCCCGTCCTCCTCCCCGACCAATTCTCCAGCACGCCCGCCCCTCATCCCGCCTCGAGACACCTAAGCGAGAGACCACGTACTGGCCGTCGACCTCGATCGTGCGTGTCCTCCTCGGTGATCGATCGGCTCGCCGACACGCTTTGCGACTGGGAGCGCTACCAGCGTTCCGAACTGTGCGGGTGCGGGCACTCCTCTGACGGACCGGAGGACGATGGATTGCTCGAAGTCCCGCGCGGCCCGCGCGAGGTGTCGAAGCGCGTCTTTGTGCCGTTTGCGATCCGGGCACGGACGCGGACGTCGATGCGGAGTTTATGTTCGGAGAACCTCCTCGGGACGGAGCGATCAACGAAGAAGTCGAGGTGGTGGAGGCTGGTGAACCCGTCGGATCAGCAGAGGGATCGTCGGGAAGAGGGAACGAAGGCGAGGGCGAGAGTAGCTGAAACAGGATTCTGCAGTGCGTTCTCGTGAATCGGCTGCCGGTTTCTTGCTGATTCGCTCGTTCTGTCAGGCTCGGACGAGTAACCTCGTCGCTGAGCAAATTCTAACGGTCGGCCCGTCAGGCTTTCCTCTGCATTTCCAAGTGGTACCTAGGCGCATTAAGGTCCTTCCGATTCACCTGGCTTCAGTTTTCCACTGGGTGCCGTCCCTGTAGCCCAGGGATGCCACTCATATTTTTGACACTGTAGCCCGGGGATACCACTCGGGTGGGCTCATATGAGCGGGCGCTCTGTAGCCCATATTCCCGCTCATATGAGGACACAGCCACACATGTGAGCCTGCCTCTACCGCCTTTGTATAACACTCTGACTACTATTCCTGCTTTGTAGCTACTACATCTATATAAAAGGATGTACCCTGTGTTGCCTCTCATATGAGCCCGTCGCCTCTGTTGCCTCTCATATGAGCCTGTCGCCTATGTTGCCTCTCATATGAGCCCGTCGTCTATGTTGCCTCTCATATGAGCCCGTCGTCTATGTTGCCTCTCATATGAGCCCGTCGCCTGCGTTCTAACTCATATGGGCACAGCGCTCATGCTGTGTAATATCTAGATGGCTACTACATCTATTTAAAAGCATGTACCTGGTGTTGCCACTCATATGACCATGTAGCCTGCATTGCTGCTCACACAACCATGTCACCTGCACCACCCCTCGTATGTGGGTGGCGCTTCTTCTGCCATACCATATTTATATGCAACCACTTTGCCACAGATGACACTCAAGAAAAGAAGTACATTCAGTGAATAGGGTGGAATCAAGGCAGGTACCTCTGTGTGGCATACACGAAAATAGCCAAACAACCCATCAATAGAGCATAGCCCCACAGCAATTTACAAATGGTACACATAGCAATGAACCATATGCTCAGTAGGCACCAAATGTACACCAGAGGATATTATGAAGACACTGGGTAACGCTTAACAACAGTTGAAAATGACCCCTGGGCATCGTGTGCAAAACGGCCCCACATGGCAGCCTGCCTATAGGCATAGCCTTGCTGCCCAGGCGAGAAACTGGTGTTTGCCCCCCTGTCATTCCACGTCGTTTCAGACGCACGGAATGACGACACAATTGCATCCATCTCAAGGGTGAGCCAGCCGATCTCCTCCCACCATCTATCCTTCCTTTCATGCCCTCTATACCACATGGAGCGACGAGCTGTGAATGCAACAGTGAGTGAGTGTCCTAAAAATATGCCAAACAAATGCTTACTGGCTGCATGGTAGTTTTTCTCTGCATCTGCCCCTTCTCCAGCGAAGGTCCACAGCCATGAGGGATGTTTGTGGCGTTGCCCACGTAAGGACGCTTCCACGATAGATGCATTGATATTGAGGTCTGTAGGAACAATGGGTAGGTACATTGCCATGTGCTTCTGGAGGAGGGCTTGTTCGTCTGGGTCTTGAATATTGTGCAAGGCTAAGAAGGCTTGTCGGGACTGCATGTACGTCCGTACATGGCGTGCAATCATTTGGTCGCAGACTCTGATGTCGTCAAAGGAACGTAGGGAGGCACGGGTAGAAGAAGCATTCCGTACGCCCGTGGCAAACTGGTATGACTTGTTCGCGATGCCATCTCTGATGGCGTTGATGCTGTCATGCATATCTGCTTGTCGAAGCTCCCGTTCTTGAACCGCAAGGTGCCAGCAGTTGTTACGTAGGAGATATTCCCTACCCAGGGTTGCAGGGTTGACTATGGGGCGTGACTCTGGCGCACCCACTTGCTCTGGTGCGATAGCAGGGTCCACAGGAATAGCATCACAGACATCCACTCCTTCGTGTGCATCCCATTCCTCACCAAGTGTGTGAGGTGTGGAAAGGGAATCAAGAACTGGGTAAGAGTCGGTGGGAAGAAAGGCAGCCCCAGCTCGGTTGAACCTTTGAATCAGAGAGAGCAGCTTTTGGCGTTCCTGAGCAAGATTAAGGCGAGCGTGGTCGGTGGATGCCTTGCTAAGCTGCCGAGCCATTCGCGCAACAATGACTCTGAAGATATACATGAGATCAGCCTGCAGGATTGAGCCCTGACCAGTGGAGGGGGCATAACAGAAACAAGATGCGCACCTCCGACGATCTATGGCGATACCAAGAACAAGCCATTCTGTGATGTTGGCTGCCCCAGCATTGTTCTCTTCTTCAACCATAGCTGTTTGTGTAGCAATGATCCCAGGCACTAAAGACACATTCAACCACCATATTGAGACGATGCCCGAGATAAACATACACGGGTTTTTGGCAAAGCTGAATATGTCTTTCTTCGCAATGTCCTCGCTTGCAGCATTGTGGGCATCATTAACTGCCTGAGTCCACATTGCAATTTCGTCTTTAGTAGCGACACCATTTATGTCGTCAAACGCTTTCGTGGCAGCTGCACATTCACGATGGGCTGTAATCCATTTCCGACACTGTGTGTGTGCTTGCTCCAAGGATCAACGACTGGGCTGGAAAGAATAGACAGGTCTCACCCATACGAGTCAGCTTCATCCAGTTTGAATCACACATGTGATCGTCTTGAACCTCTTGTCTGTGGGAGGTGCTCATGCCCCTGGTGCTGTCGCCGATGGCATTCAGTGGTTTCCACAGTGGTTCCATAGTCTCCCCATCCTGAATACCTGCCCAACGAACAAAGTTCAAAGAGTAACGGGCGAAGCAGTTGTGTTGATGCCCATGCACATGGAACTGCCCAATTGCCCAGAGAAATGTGGCCTCTGGCGGAATGTCAAGGAAAGGGGAGTTGGCAAATCGTGTGGCCATGTTGACGTGGTACTGGCAAATGATGTCGTAGATGAGCAGGAAGGATGAATAGACTGTGTATGCCTTCAATGCCCAGTTGACAGAATAGTCCATGTTGCGTTGACTGTGGATCATATCAGTCGTGCGACGTATCGTATAGCTAAAAACATACGCTTCTCCACGCTGGAAGTCGACAGCAGAGTGGGGCACAAATACCCCATGCCGTGAACACGCAGCCGCCCCTATGCCTGTGACATCCAAATGGTCTTTTGTGTTGTGGGACTCCAATGCTGCACGATGTGAGTTGCAGGTAGAACGAGGCCGCTAATTTATGTTTTTTCTCAGCCATCAAAGAACCATCAGAGCATAAGTTCAACCCACTGGCTCATTTCGTGCAAGCGCGTCAGCGAGGTGAGCTTTATATGGCGCCTGGCCGACCATGTGCATCTTGCCATCCATCAAAGAAACATCACCAGACTCAGAGGCCATCTTCATGTGTTGTGCACAGAAGTTGCCGTCGAAAACGAGGGATGCTGGATATTGGCAACTGGAACAGTCAAATCAGGCTGTGTTGAATAGAAGTCCCCTTCAGAAGGGTCGCAATCCATAGAATTGGGGCCATGGGCCACTAAACACAGGAGGTCGGAGTACCTCTGGCAATCATATACGGGCGCTCGGAGTGCCCACGCCCATCAGATGCGGGCGCTCGGAGTGCCTATGCCCACCATACCCGGGCGCTCGGAGTGCCTACGCCCGTCAGACACGGGCGCCTGCCTCGGAGTGCCTACGTCCACCACACCCCGGCGCTCGGAGTGCCCACGCCCGTCAGACACGGGCGCTCGGAGTGCCCACACCCATCAGTGAAAAGCACACTTAGATGCCATCGGCCACATTGCAGGTCATTTTCACCACGTGTGCGGCAGGGGGACGTACCGTTTGGGGTCTTCTGCCCATCCTGGTGGTGTGTTCTCTCCCGCCCTTAGGCACCCCGGACATTTGATTGCAAGTTCCCCAGGCCCAGGCTCGACCCCTGAGTGGCCAAACCCTGATCGCATGGTGTGAAAAAGGACACGATGCTGCCTGGACGTTCGGAGCAGACCCTTATACCCGAGCTAATAAAGTGAGCAATCAGCCAAGCGAAGTATATTAAAGAACAGTTTCTTTACTGCAAGATCGCCATAAAATGCCCCATCCGTCTTGCGACATAGATATTTGTGGTAGCTCATAGCCGATACTTTGCATTGCCGGTTTGTAAGTGAGAAGTCTTTCAGTAGGTCCATTGTGTAGACGGTCCTGACTCGTCGTGAAGATGCAGGATAGAAGCCCAGCTCTAAAAGCTGTTCGTCTTCTGGGTCCGCCCCTGGGCATTGACAGAAGGTGAATGAAAGGCGATGGAGGCCGTTGGTGTGGATCACTGAGATGGTGCGTTCACCATGATATGTGGGGATAGTGAGATCTGAAGGAGCATCTGGGGGGGGAGGTTGGGAAGAAGTTGTAACTTCAGTACCGTCGTCATCTAGGGTGGCCTCCTCATCCTCCCATTCTGGATGGTCTTCAAAGGCGTGTATCCGGGGCTCATCTTCTTCGTCATCCTCATTGTCATGTTCGTTTTGTGGGTCTGAAAACACATCTGTGTTGGGCATTGACGCGGCATTCTCAGTTCGCAGGGAAGCGGCACCTGGCACTTCACAAAGAGATGGGCAGGGGTTACTGTCATGTCCACAGTGGATCTGCATTCGGAGGTCATAGAGGGAGGCGTTGGCCCAGTGATTTTGCTTCCATCTTTCAATCCGGTGGGTTACAAGGCTGATGTGCTTGCGTCTACAACATGGGCCACATAAAGCTGGGCGCCCAAGACACTCCGTGCATCTCCAGAGGGCAGGTCTGCCACAGGAACAGTTGCTGGTGGGTCCAGCATAGGCATTAAACAGAATACCCATGTATTTCGCTTTTCGAAGTTTGAAATCTTCATAGAATTCTCGTTGCGTCTGAGTGCATTGGTGAGCATTGATTGCCCTCCTCGATGAAATTGCCCACCTTGTACTTCTTCTTAGGCTTTGTGGGAATGTCCTGAACTGGCCCGAGAAAGAATTCCCCACCCAATCCATCTAGCTCGGAGGAAGTTCCTTCGTGCGCAATTTTTTGACGCTTTCCAACACTGGGTGCCAATCGGGTGAGTTCTGGCGGCGCTGGTTGAGGAAATCTCCCTGTCCGTTGGCGATGGCCACGACGCCCATTTGTGGTTGTTTCGAGTTTTGGGGCAGGACGGAACCGCCTGTTGTAATCTACTCGGTCG